GGTGTGTAACCTCTCTGCCCCTGCTTCCTCCTCTGAGACACCCACTCCTTAGTATTATCCCACAAAGGCTGGGAAGATCAAACAGCCTTAGGCAAGGCAGTGCTTCTGAAAGGCCAAAACAGGAAAGCAAGCAAATGTTTGAGTTGTTTGTCTCAGTTTGTGGGCACATCTACCCCTAAATCAGTCTTTGAGAAACAGGAAACTCCCCCCATAGCAGCTCTGAGAGTGTAGAGGGATGGGAGTGGGTCACCAACCAAGAGGCCGCGGCATCAGAATCTGCTGGGCTCCTTCAGCCAACTCTCAGGTGACTGTGACTGTGTGCGCCTCTCTAGAAGAGAATGACATTGGTGTCTCCGTCACCGTTTCATTGCTTTGAAGAGACCTTGTGACCACGGCAACTCTTAGAAAAAGAAAGCATTTAACTGGGGGCTCGCTTACCTTTTCGGAGGCTTTGGCCATTGTCGTCATGGCAGAGAGCCTGGCAGCACACACGGCACGGGAGCAGCAGCTCATCTGCAGGCAACAGGCAGAGACTGAGTCTGGCACAGGCTTTTGGAACCTCAAAGCCCATCCCTGGTGACACACCTCCTCCAAGGCCACAGCGATTCAAGGCGATGCCTTCTCATACTTTGAATCCTTTAAAGAGGTCCACTCCCTGGTATCTAACTAAGCATTCAATTATGTGAGCCTACGGGGGGCCATTTTTATTCAAAGCACCACAGTAGCTGAACACACACACACACACACACACACACACACACACGATATAAATTATCTCTACACTGCTTCTAACGGTATCTGCATGATTCTGCTGTTCTATAAGCCGAAGCTACACTATTTCTTGGGGAGAATCTTCTCTAAAAAGCTTTTGATATTTTTTGATAGCTTCATGCATAGACACGCACAGTCTAATTATTGTCCCCACTCCCTCCTTTATCTCCTTCCTGCCCACCACCCCTCCCCTTCCCTACAAGTCTCTTCCCCACACTCCTGTCTCTCTGCGTTGTTTTGTGACCCAGTGAGTTTAACCAGGGCCATATGGGCGACCACGGGTTTGGAATGGTCCACTGAACCCTTATGCACTTCCTAACGGGCATATACCTGAAGTCAACATCTATGGGTAGCCCATAGTTCAGCAGGGAGTTCCAAGCAGGCCCCTCTCTTGGGGAAGAATCCTTTTTTATTTTTTCTAGCAGTTCTTTGAGAATTTCATACGATGTATTTTGGTCACATTCCCTCTTCCCCTACCTCTTCCTTCCCTCTTAATCTTTTTGGTCTTCACCCATTAAGACCAATTTGTACTACCTGTGCCATCTTGGGTGTATGGCCTTCGCCTGGAGCACAGGGGCAACGTGTTAAAAGTGTTTAAAACCCTCCCTCTCCCAGCAGCGGCACCTACCAATTGCTAATAGCTTGGAGAGGGACTTTATGTCTACTTCCCTGCTCCATGCTGGGCTCCGGCCTGGACTATGCTCACATGGGGCCTGGATAAGCTGTCACAAGTGCTGTGAGCTCCTATGTGTAGCTGCTGTTCTGTCCAGAGGTCACTGCTGTGCTTCAGTCACCTAACGCCTCTGGCTCTTACAGTCCTTCCACCTCCTCCATGGTGATCCCTGAGTTTTGGGAAGAGGGGATGTGATTATAGATAAGGCTGAGTGTCCCAGTCTCTGCTTCTCTGTACCATGTGGCCAGTGTGGGTCTCCGTGTTAATCACCATCGACTACAAAGAGAAACTTTTCTGAAGAGAGTTGCATTAAGATGCATTAATTTGTTTTGTCACCACGTGGGTAAGCTAGAGGGTTCTTGGCGGAGTGGGTGTGGGATCTGGCAAGTTCCAATGGAGGTCTGGGTCCCTGCCACGTAGCTGCAGGGTGAGTTGGATGGGGTTGGGTGGGGTTGGATCTTGGTGTCATTGTTTAAATGCTCAGATACCTGCCCACACCCACATAGCTGCTTCCATTACTCTTGACACGATGGGTCTGGGGAGCCGGCTTTGGTGCACTAAGCCTCCAGTGCCTCCCTTAAGGCCACTGCAAATTCATCCGAATTCTAACCTCAGAACACATGCTTACCATGCAAATACAGCTTCCTCCTCTATCCACATGCCTCATCTGAGTTCCTGGGATATTTTCTGTCTTGTCCTTAAAATGATGGGTCTGTGTTGGGAGATTCAGGGGAAAGGGGCCCTGCAGGAAGAATCCCAAGGAACAAATCCATTTGTCCAGCTTCCTTTAGAACTCTCCCTTATATCCTAGTCAGGGACCAAGCTCAGAACTGAGTCCTAGACACAGCCCAGTGGAAGTCCCATACTCTCCTCCCCATGCGTAATGGACCACAGAGCAGGAACGGATTCTTGCAATGGACTTGGGCATTTGTGTACTGAGACACATCAAATGCCCAGCACACCCAAGCCCTGAGAGCAGAGCTTGAAGGAGGAGTTACCGTCAGCAATGACAGGAACTTTGACCCCCAGGAGCTGCCTGGCACCCTCACAGCAGACAGTGGCCTGGCACTCTGAGCAAGAACCAGTTCGTTTCTCTTCCATCAACTCTGCCTTTCTCAGTTCAACTCCCTCCACTGCTGCTGGAATCTTTTAAGTGATTGTCTCTTCCTGATCAATGAAATTTCATCTTCATGGACTTTTCAAATATGCCCCTTTTCATCTACCCTTTACTCTCCGGGTTTGCCCCCTCCCTTCCCCCACTCTCCTCACATGGCCCTACTCAGGGTCCCGTCCACTCTGGACTCCCAGATGTCCACGCCTCTGGCTATGCTCTCCTGCACGTCTACAATAAACTTTCTCCTCCACCATACTTAGGAGCAGTTATGTCCTTCCTTTTTCTTTCTTTCTTTCTTTCTTTTTTTTAATTCAGAAACCATTTTTATTTAAGCAAAAACTGAGGTGTCAGCAATTTGGAACGCAAGCCACAGACCCTATATTTGTAAAACATAGAGCTTTATTTTTGCCACATGCAAGTGTTGACTTGTGGCTTCTACAGAAGATAAGACATATATGCACTATTTTTATCTTGAACATGAGCAATAAATACCCTCCTGATCCAGGCATAAATATATAATCCCAAACATTACAAATTGCAAGAGCTACAAAGTACAACTGGAACCCAAGCCTTTCATCAGGGGATTTTCTGCGAATACACAGCACCATTTCCAAAAATGTAAGAGAATCCCATATTCCCGTAAAGGACACTGAAGAGGTGCACACATGTCTGTCCCAGCCTCCATGGAGCTGAGCTTAAGGAAGACAATATGGGGGCCGGTCTTCGAAACCATGCCACAGACATCTCTCAGTTCCAGTGTTTTTCTTCTAGGCTGAATGTCCCAGAAACCATCTCTTAATTAACGGTTCCAAAAAGAGAATATGCACTAGGCTGAGAAGTAGACAGGGATGATTGTGGCCCAGCTGAGGAAGACTGTTTTCTGAATGACAGAGTTTTATGTGGGCACAGTAATTATAGCTGGAAGGGAGGCATTTGAGTCTCAAGTCAGTCTGAATGCCACGTGACTTACAAAGAGGGATCCGCAACTCTGATCCCTTCTCTAGGAGCTTTATCTGAACACCTTGGGAGAATCAAGTGTGCCTGGCACCAGGGAAGAGCCCTCCTGCGAGGGCTCCAGTTGGAGGCTGAAGGGATAATTACTGGGCAGGAGATTGGTTCAAAGTCCTTTGAAGTTCTGGAATGAATGGCCTCAGGCAATGTGACTCTGGTAGGTTGGGAGAATGAAAGGGTTAATTCCGGGTAGCTTTGAAGTTGTGAGCTCAGGTCCTGGTGAGGATGAAGAGGAAGACAGAGAAGAGTCCTATTTCAATGTGGAGCGTCCCACTGCGCCCCCCAGTGGTCTATTCAGGAGCAACACCACTGGGTGGTGCTGCACTGCTTAAGGGCTGACTTCGGTCTAGTATTAATCGGCTCAGCAATCCACTCTCAGCAGGAGGCAGTGTTGAAAAGGGTGGCATTTCAATCTCTGTCCTTCCCAGTTCTGTCACTCTTACGGCACAGCTGTCTGGCTTTTGAAAAGACTGAGTTCTGCTTTCTGTAAAACATCAATAATATTGTGCCATCGGGTTGGTATGAACTGATTCTCCAGGAATGGCTTGTTGCTCAGAATAGACGCATGTGACCTGTATAAGTGTCAATCAACAGCAGACATCTCATGCATTTTGGAAACACCTCTCAGTGCTCGACTCTATGTCCTTCCAGATAGCCTGAACAAGGGCAAAAATCCTCCTTCTTTTGCTAGGATCTTGAGAGTTTTGAAGTCTCGATCTTAAGACTGCTAAACTCCTAAAGCCTAAGAGAACGCCAAAGTCTTGAGGCCACAGGGACCAGCACTGTGCTGCCCTCTCTTGGTTCAGGTAGGTTGTGCAGATGCCTACCTAAGAGGTTAGAATGATGAACATTCTATAGTCATTGCCTCAGCATTCTGCATAGACCAGGAGCCCCAGCCACCCACGTGAGTCACTACGACAGGGCCATTGGATTAGTAATAAGCCGATGCCTTGTTTTGTACCTGTTGATACCTGACCATCAAAGGCCCTCTCATTCCTGGTCAATCTCAGACACACAGTGGTCCAGCCATGGGGTCTAGAGGGGTCATTTCACTCTATGCACCCAATGAAGCTTTCTATGCTCCATCGAAGAGAGGTGGCAGTGTGCTCTGAAACCTCACGACATCCGGCCTCTGGCACAAGCAGCCACCCCACCACATTTAGCAGGAAGTTGAGGCTGGCAGGCTCACAGTTAGCAGAACCCTCTGGCTAATCACCTCTTGCATTTCTTAGAAAAAGAATGAGGCTTCCCATTCTTCCATTTGTAAATGGGGATACTGTCTTGTTGGGTCAAATAAAACGTCTCTTGAGTATTCGACCTATGCTTAAAATACTAATAAAAAGAAGAACGTGGCCTATACCTGCTTCTCCCTATTGCTAAGAAGGGGAGGAAATGCTTCTGAGAGCAGGTGATGGAGCTTTGAGATAGCATATGACAGAGGCTGGGGTGTTGGGCACAGCAGCACGGTTACTGCTGTAGCCCAGTCTTTGGCCCAGTGGCTGGCCCTCCAGTTTCTTCTAGGATGCTGCAGTCACAGTTGCGTAGGGGCTGGCACCATGGTCCAGGCACCGGTGCGGGGTCCTGGGCTGCTGGCAGCTTTTAATGCTCTGTAAAAAGGACACTGTTCCTTCGCTCAGGATACACGGCTGTGGCTGGTCAACGAATCCCTGCTAAAGTCCAGATTCTGCGATTTCAGCCAGCTGATTTAACAGCTGGGAGAAAGGTGGACGGTCCTCTGGTTTCTGCAGAGTAACAAAGAGAGCTCTGTGAGTTCCCTATACCTGTGTGTCCTGCCTAAGTGCAAAGCAGATCCGAATCCAATAGCAGCATCTGCCCTAAAGTCTTCCCACATGGGCTGTCTTGGAGGAAGGATGTTCTTACTGTCCATAACAGAGAGTCTGAGACCAGGCGGCCTAGTTTTAAATTCCGTAGTCACTTCTTTACTACCTGATCTACAGATTCAGTGCAACGTGAACCAAAGCTCCCAGCAAGTGATTCTGTGGTGGCCAAGAGCTGACTGTGAAATGTATGTGGAGAGGCAAAACTCTCAGGGGACTAAGACATACTAATTAGAACTAATACTAATGACGGCAAAGAAAAGTAGAGCGGGGACTGAGACCACCCAAGCTCAGGGCTTCCTCTGAAGTCAGAGGATTCGTGATAGTGTGACGGATAAGCAGTGGATCAGGCAGGAGAACAGAGGGCCTAGAAACAGACCAGGGACACGGCAAGTAGACATGGGAAGAATGGAGGGACAACAGACAGTGCTGTAACGGCACACCCTACAGGACCAGCAGACCCTAGTCTAAGATGGGCCTGAATGTGAAAGGTGGAACTATAAGACAAATGATTGGGAGAGGGAAATGGGTGAAACGGGGGAGGCAGCCTTGACTGGGGATGGGAGAGAGAACGTCAACTGTGAATAATGCTGAGGATGTCTGGAAAGGGTCATCAGAAATAATATCATTCATTTACCTAAAATTATATGCAATGCATATAAGTCTGTTTGTATGCATATATGAAGTATATGTATAAATGACGTGATACCACTTGGTAATACCTCTTGGTATATAGCATAAATGAAGTAATACCACTTGGCCTGACAGTACTCCCCCCATCCTCACCATGAGCCATAGACTACCTAACAAAAACCAGGCATGAGAAACTCCTTATAGAGTTGCTGCTTATGGGAAGCCAAGAGACTCCCCAAACAATCTAGACTTGCTGTTGCCCTCAGTTGCCTCCCAGAGGCTGAAGGCAAGTGCCTATTGCTAAGACACCACGCCCTCTGGATACAAGGCCTTGAGGAGCCAAGCTGGATCTGCCTTGAAAGCCTCCTCCCTCAGGTCTAGCTTTCATTATACTGAAAGGCGCTATGCAGTCTTCCAAGGGAGGGTGGCAACTGACAGTCCTACCCATTTGGGATGCCTACAAACAACACCAACGGTGAGCATGGCACGATAACCCTATGGGTGCAATAGTGGCACTCATAACCTGGCAGTAACCACCAGCTCTATTAGACTTAAAGATGACTCATCAGGAGGGAAACCACACCTGGAAATTTGCCCAACTACCTGGAGCTAGTGACGTCATAGACCTTAGAGAAGAAACTACTACTGTCACCTTATTAAACCAATTTAATTCCTAACTGCGTTCTAAATATCGATCTTTATACCCACAGGTAAGTATAGCTTTTACTCCTCATAAACATCAAAATCAGGAACATCCATTTTCAACAGACGGAGGCCTTTACAGAAAGTCACAAGTGGTCAAATGCAGGGAACAAGTGTATAGCCCCAACTAACACACCCATAACACAAGTCAGAAACATTGTGGAGGGGGATCAATAAGAGACAGAGGACCAGAAAAATCTGCTATGAGAGTGTGTCTTTTAGAAATGGCAGGGAAGCTTTCCCCATGGTACTTCAACAATATGGCTGCCTCAACAAGATCTGCAGAAGTACACCATCAACAGACCTGCTAACATGGCAGGGGAGAATCTGACAGGACAGCACCCTAGACTGGGAACCACGGGCAATTAAGGGATGCTGAGAGTGGGAGAAGTAGTCCTCCCCAGGGAGGAGCCCCATAGGCAGTTTTCCAAGGCCACGTGGTCATCTCTGAAATCTTATACATATAAGCAGCATTAAGTGGAATGAATATGTTTTGTTTGTATATTTACTCACACTTGTGTGTGAGTGTAGCAATCGCATTTTTTAAAAAGCCCACGCTTTTGAGAGGGAGCAAAGGGGGAGGAGGCATGGAAGGGACTGGAGGGAGGAAAAGGAAGGAGAAATATGATGCAATAAGTTTTTAATTAAAAAATACAAAATTAATAAAATTAAATTTTCATAAAATCATCTCGGAAGAGATCTGGGTTTTGTGATGAGTTGTGAGCTATAACTTCAAGGTGTGAGTCATGGAAAAAAATGATGCTGAACTTGGTTAAAACTGGAAAACTTCTGTGAGAGATGCTCTCAAGAGGGCCAGTGAGATGGCTCAGCAGCAAAGGCACTTGCCACCAAGCCTGACAATCTGAGTTCAATCCCTGGGACCCACAGGGGCAAGGTGAGAACTAACTCCTGCAAATTGTCTTCTGACCTCCATGGGTACATACTAACAGTATATGCCCTCTCCCCCATTCCTGCATACATATAGGCACAAAATAAATAAAAATAATTTAAGTGGTATCAGTAAGGGTTGAAGAGATGGACCAATGGTTAGGAGCACTTGCTGGGATCCAGGTCTGATTCCCAGCATCCACATGCAGCTCACAATCATCAGTAACTACAGTCCTAGGGGATCTGATGCCCACTTCTGTCCTCTGTGAAAACTGTATGCACATGGCACACAGACACATGCGCAGGCACAAACATAAATTTTTTTTAAATAAAAAATTGAAGACATTAGCAAGAGAATGAAAAATAAACTGTAGGCCTGGAGAAAATATTTGCAAAACATATAATGATAGGGAACTTTTTAAAATCAGCTATATGGAATAAACAACCCTGCTGAATGGTGGGTAAAAATCTGAGCAGGCATTTCGTTGAGAATATTAGAGGTGGGAAATAAACATGAAAAGATATCCAACATGACAAGCCATTGATAAATGTCAATCCAGACAACAGGAAACAAAATTCTACCCCTCCTCTGTAAGAAGGGTGGATATCAACACAACCAGTACTGATGTATATAAGAAGCATCATGACTGAGTATGGTGACACACATCTTTAATCCCTTTGCTTAGAAGGCAGAAGCAGAGGCAGGTGGATCTCTGTGAGTTCAAGGTTAGGTAGTCTATATAGTGAGTTTCAGGACAGTTAGGGCTACATAGTGCCAAACCAAACCTAACCAAACCAAACCAAACCAAACCAAACCTAACCAAACCAAACCAAAACAAAATGCACCAGAATCACTCATCACTGGTAAGAACACAAAAAGGAAAACCTGGTGGTGTTTCACAAAACTAGCCTTACTGTGCAGGCCCACAAAATGGGGTCCGTTCCACCTTGACTGAAGGTCAGATAGCTAAGCCTACTCTTGCTCTTTCAAAGTTATTGACAAGAAGTCTGACTTAAGGAATGGCTACAAACAAGGTATCTCCACCTAGGGTGTGGTTACTTGGTGTTTTGGCTATTAAGATGACCCAAAGAGGTGGATCCACTCCACACTGACCAAAAGTCAGAAAATTCCACTCTATTCCTGCTCCTTCATTTTTAAGACAGGCGGTTTGACCCTGGGAGTGGTTGCCTACAGGATACTTGGTCTAAGGTGTTGTTGCAGCACATCCTGCCTAAAGCATCAGAATGCTTAACTCAGGAAATAGTTGCTTGATATTTCAAGTAATGAAGCAAGTAATTGTTCTGTTTGTCCTTTGTGTGATGTTAAAGCAGTCTTTTACCTTCTTCCCCTCTTTTTGGATTGGGGTACATAAGTGTGTGGAAAATAAATGTGGGTGTATTCAGGATTCAGGATTCACTGGGTTGCCCTCCTGGTACTATTCTATATTACTATCTTTTCATATCTCTGTTTCTCTTGCCTAACATTTCTAAACCACAGGCCCATTTCCCTGGAACACAGGAACCCATCGAGGCTGGACCCTCACGTATTACCATTTGATCCAGTGACCACTCCCAGGCATTTACCTAACGGAGTTGAAAATTTATGTATACACATAGATTCACATGAATGGATGCATTTACAGTGAACATTTATAGCAAATTTATGCATAATTGCTGGAAACCAAAAACTTCTAAGATTTCCTTTAGAAAGCACATGAATAAATAAGCTATGGTATGTCTATACAACAGAGTATTACTCAACAATAAAGAATAAATAAACAATAAAATCCAAAAAACACACAAAACAACATTAAATGCATATTACTAGCAGAAGGAGGCTAGTCAGAAAAGGCTACAACTGTATGATTCCAGCTCCAGGACAGACCTGGAAAGGCTGAAACTGTCGACAGTAAAATGATCAATAGTTGCCAGGGTTTGGGGAGTGAGGGCAGAGACGAACAGGAGAAACAAAGGGGATTTTTAGGACAGCGAAACTATTCTACATGATCATATAATGGTGGGTCTGTGCTATTACGTGTTTGTCAAAGCCCACTGAACCGGGCAGTACCAGCAGTGAACCTTAATCTCTGAACTTTGGTCAACGATGATGGAGCAGCAGGTGTTTATTTAAAAATGATTGTAATGAACCAAATTCTTATGAAGTGCTAGTAAGCAAAGTAAACTGAGGAGGAAGGGAAATATGGGACCTACTCGAGCTGTTTGCTCAGTTCTTCTAGATACACAGAATTCTAAGATCTGTTGGAAAAAAATTAAAAAGATAATTGAGGTGACTATCTTAGAGCAACCCACACCCACACTCTTGGGTGTGTCCTTCCTGAGTACCCTCTCCTCCATGTAACGTGTGTGCATAAGATCTACGTTAAAAGTGTCTTTTCATAAGTTCTGCTTCATAAAACATAGCTAAAAGAGGCTGGGCGGCTGTGGCGCACGCCTTTAATATTAGCACCCAAGAGGCAGAGGCAGGCGGATCTCTGACAATGAGGCCAGCCTGGTCTACATAGCAAGTTTCAGTACAACCAGGACTACACAGAGAAACCCTGTCTCAAAAACTGCTCCCCCAATTAGCCTAAAAAGAAAAAAAAAAGCATTGCCAAGTAACCATCAGGTATCATTATTCCTTCAGTGTTCAAGATTTTTTTTCAGTGAATAGGATTTCTTCTGTGTTCTTGCTTGTATCTTTCATTGCTTATGTTATAAACTCTCTGTGAACTTATGGATTAAGCATTACTTAGTAGTCTTGTAAGTCAAAGAAAGGAGGTTTGGAGGTTTTTTTTTTTTTTTGCTTTTTATCATGGTTAATGGTAAGAAACAACTGTTAAGACTAAGGTTTTTCTTGAGGCTACTAGACTTTTTGAGATTCTGTCTTATTGAGGGTCTTTAAAAAATTATCCCACTCTAATCTACATGGGAAGCAGAAAAAGACAAGATCTCCTGAGTAAATTGGGAGCAGTGGGGATCATGGAAGAGGGCAGGAGGGGAGAGGAAGGGAGGGGAGCGGAGAAAAATATATAGCTCAATAAAAACAATAAAAAAGGTAAAATATAAAGTGCAGAGAAAAAACTATTAGGCTTTCTAAAACTAAATAAATATTTCCTTTTATGAAAGGTAAAAATAAATTTTAAAAAGGAATCAAACAAGGGCTGGAGAGATGTCTCAGAGCTTAAGAGCACTGGCTGCTCTTCCAGAGGTCCTGAGTTCAATTCCCAGCAACCACATGGTGACTCACAACCACCTGTAATGGCACCTTCTTCTGACCTGCAGGCATACATGCAGACAGAATACTGTATACATAATAAATAAATAAATCTTAAAAAATTAAACAAACAAAAATTTATCCCACTTAGGGGTACATGTTCAAAGAAAATGATGTCAGTATATTAAAGAAATACATGCTTGCCAGTGTTTTTGGTTGCATATTTCACAATAGCTAAGATGGAGTATCCACTTGGGTATCCATCAACAGAACTTTGGTCAGCACGATGAACTGATAAGATATATACATAAATATATATGTACATATAAACATGTGTGTGCGCATGTATATATATATATACAAATACATATATACTTATAGATGAGTATATGTGTGTGTACACATAGATATGACGGCACTTTATTCGGTGAAGAAGAATGAACCCTTGTCATTGGTTGCAATGTAGGTGAATCTGGAGGATATTACATCAAGTGAAAGGTGAGACCCAGGAAGAAGCTCATACTCTCTGTCACATGTAAAGCTAAGAAAAGCCAATGTGAAAGTGGAAAAGTGGTTCTCAGAGCCTGGGAAGCTGTGAGGAAAGAGACATGAAAAGGTGGTTAATAAGCACCAAAATACTGTCCAATAAAGGAGAAAGTTCTCGATTTGGACGGCCCAGTGGGAGGCTGCAGCCCACTAGCTGTGTTTTATGAGTGGCAGAAGAGAAGAGCTCACAGGCTCCAAGGATGACATAATGGTGGGAAGAAATGACATGGATTCTATCACCCCCACGCTCAGTACACATAGATCACATATTAAAGTATCATACTGTACACCATATGGATATATAATGAAGACCTAATTACACATATACACAGATACAACTTCCTGCCTGTTTACTGTGGTCGCCCTTGGTCCTCATCCTCCTAGGACATCCTTTCCCTTGAGATGCAGGCCCTGAAAATGTGTGTGATGATACAGGGGGGGATGACCTCGTGTACTGACCTCCTTCCAGCAATGGTTCATGATCTGGTAGATGTGAGAGGAGGCCAGGCGGGGCTTGTATAACCGAAAGCCAGTGCTGATGTCTTCCACCACCTCTGAGTTGCTCCGGTTTTCATATGGGATTTTACCCTCACTGAAGACTTCCCACATGAGCACACCTAGAACAACAGTGAGCAGAACAACAGCTCATGGCAAAGGGCACATGTACCGAAGAGACTCATCTAAAAATGACGGAGTCCTTGGAGTTAGCGTCCAAGTCCACTCGGTAGACATCTAGAGGTTCAGTATCCGGCCCATGAGGCTTATCGGGCTTCCTCTTAACATTTTTTTTTTTCATTGATTGATTCACTTCTATTTTAAAGGCTTTATTTTTTACTTATGCGTCTGAGTATGTGTTTGTATGAATATATGTCGTGTGTGTAGGTGCTTGAGGAGTCTAGAAGAGGCCACCAGATCTTCTGGAGAGGTTGTGAGGTGTATGTGAAACAAATTCATGTCCAGGCTTGGGTTCCATTTCCAAGCTCTCTCTCCCTTTACTCCCCTCTCTCCATCGCTATAAATGCACACACAGATATGCAAATATCCCAGAATCTAAAGTCTAAGCCGTTCTTGGTGTCAGGCATTTCATCTGTGGAATCTTAACTTGTACTGTAGAGAGTGAGGAGAACTTACCTTCTGGTGGTAAGTCTCCCTACATCTGCCCCAGCTTTGTCTTTAACAGTACTGATAGATCACGACCTCCCAGGAGGAAGGGAGGTTACTGATGTCCTAACCAGAGATCTGCAAGACGCGTAAGTCCAGAGGACTGTGGGATGGAGTGTCCCCAAGTCTCATTGCCAAACACCCAAATAAGAATCGGCTCCTAAACTTCTTCAAATGGCAGACTTCTGAACCCCATCCTACAACCCTCCTCCTAGGGTCACTTTTCAGTGCCCGAGGACCTGAAAATTCAGACTCTACTTCAGTATTCCAAGATGCCAGGATTTCTAGTGGGGTGTCTTCTGAAAGCGAGCTGTTGTGCTGGAACACAGCTCGGGGTGACTGCTTTATTATAAGCCTTCTGAACATGGATGAGGCATGGTTCATACAGGCTACAGACTTCTTCAAGAAGTCAATTGTGGTAAAAAGCAGAGACTTTATCTATGACAAAGCCCATTGGGCTGAGGCAGGCAGGAGGCTCTCCGGTCGCAAGGTTGCTGCGGTTTGTGCATGCCGCTACAAATTTCTTTCCCTTCTTTCTTTTTTTCCTCTTTCCCTCCCCCTCCCTCTATATTCCCTTCACCCTCTTTCCCTCCTTTCTTTCCTCCCTCCCTTCTCTCTGTGTCACCCTGGCTGTCCTGGAACTCACTGTGCAGATGCCCCTGTCTCTAGGGAGCTGGGACTAAAGTCCTGCGCCACCATGCTCGGGTGATGCAACCTGTTTCTAATCTTCCCCTATCTGTCTATCAACCTCATGCCTGGATTCCCTTCAGGAAGGGAGTTATTTTAAACAAATCTTCTGGAGAGCAGCAGAACATCCCCCGGCTGATGTGCTATGATGTCACAGGCTCCATTCTGAGTCTGCAGGTGGAGGTGCAAGTATGGCTGGCACTCTAAGCATCTTTGGGAGGCCCCTCCTTGGCAGTGTCAGTAGCTCCATTAGCCATGGAGAGATGAACACACACTGTCCCTAGCTGTCCTCCACACTTGTGGACAGTTGTGCAAAGATGATGCCAGAACAATCTCCCCCGGGGTTCATTCTGTAATTCTACCAGTTAAGAGAGTAATGGCCAAGCATGGAGATGGGGTTGGATTAAAGAATAAATCAGAAAGATTCATAATTAACAAGTTCTGGGCTCTTGGGAATGGGTATTCTACAGTGTGAAGAAATTCCTATCATTGATTCTTATCTTGAGATATCTGACTAGACAGCATCTCCTTTGCTTATACCACTGAGGTTTGTGCCCTAGTAAACCTTTCCTACAGAATGGCATGGTCAACCTAAAGATATTTCTCTCCAAAGTTCCCTCTTTATGGTTATCATACCACAGAGGTTATTTGCTGCATTTTCATGCACACTTTTACATGCAAAAATTATGACTTAGGCAGACATCAAATCCAGCAAGTCACTTAGCCTTTCTCACATGGTGACACCATCCATCCATCCATCCATCCACCCACCCATCCGTCCACCTACCCAAGACTTTTAGAACAGTTACTAACTTAGTAACTCCTGCTCTCTGGATGTAGTGAGGTTTTTACACATTCCGGTTCCTGTCAGGAACACAGTGTCATGAATATTTGAATGGACACATTTGTTCAAGAGTCACCTCCTAGAAAGGCCTTTCCAGACCATGCTAGTTACAAACAGACCCTTCCTCCAGCCTAAATACTCTCTGTACGGTTGCTGTTGTATTTGATTCCCAGCACTGGCCAAGACCAATGTGACTGGATCTTCTAACTGCTACCTTGTGTGATAGCTGCCTGTCTCCTCAAAAGTTTTGCTTCAAGAGAACAGAAGCCTCTTCTGCCTTCTGTCCTCCTGCTCCTCAGCACCTTGAGTAGCCCTGGGATCGAATGCTCAGCAGACCACTGTAGAGTAACAGATGCTGACTAGGATCAAGTGTGGGAATGCGATGCTGGCACAGCATGGTCCTACTTCCACAGGCTTCATATCCTAATCTCTGGACTACTCCAGCCTCCCAGCTCACAGAAGTTACTACGGGACACTTTTTCTCCACTGTGATCTTTAATTTCTTTGCTGTTTCAAAGCTCTCTAGAAACAAATGCAATAATTATAGCCCATTTGAACATTCAAGGCTGACCTCACACGGGCCCTCAGTAGGTTCTTTCTCTGTTCAGGGCCCAGAACAAAGTAGAATTGTTTGCCTTTGAGAAAGAAACAGATGGTCCACAGATCCAGATTGCACAGGGGTGGGCTGAGGAGGACACTCACCAAATGACCACACATCCGACTTGCTGCTATAGCGACTTAAAAAGAACACTTCTGGAGATGCCCACTTCACTGGGAATTTGGTGCCCGTGGAGCTGGTATATTGATCATCAAGGACGAACCTGGGAAGGGGCAGGGATGAGGTCAGAACACTCCAGGGCTGAGTGTTACTCCTGAGAGTCTGCTGACACCACATCCCTGTGTTACCTCGTCATCCCAAAGTCGGACACCTTGATGACTTGGTTTTCTCCCACCAAACAGTTTCTGGCGGCCTAGAGGAGAGACAGGTAGGCAAAAGAGAGATGAAGCTGTGGGTGGACAGCTAGTAGCAGAAGAGTTTCCCATTGTTAGTGTTTGCTGTGTTGCTGTACAAAGGCACTGCAGAGCCGGGCAGAGATCAAGCATCAGCAGAACGCTGCTGAGCTAGCAGGAAATCCAGCCAGTTAGCTGAATGTGCAAGCCCCTTTGCCAGGATGAGGAATTTATCTTCCTTCCCACTTATTAGAGAAATCCAGTGTTGTCCAGCTAGTGGTTCACTGGAATGCAGCCTGACGCAGAAGGCGATGCTGATCCTGGCTGACTGCAGTGCCTCCCAAGTGATCAGCACCAAAGTGTTCAGAAGCTAATCCTCTTAAAATTGCCCTAAATAGGGGAGGACTGGCCAATGGGCCACTGGCATCATCCCAGAGTATAGTCTTGGAAGAGCCCTGGGAGACACTTAAAAGTGTCTCCATATTCACCTGGAGAGTCACATTCATGATCCCCCACCACCAGAGGTTTCCAGGCTGTCTCTCAGGTTATCTAGTACAATTTCAGTGGAGAAACTGTGCTTAGGCCCAAGTGCCCATCAGTGAGAGAAGGTGTAAAGAAAAGGTAGTGTGTACAGACTCGGGGGAGAGGGGTTATTCAGTCATAAGGAGGGATGGAGGGTTTTAGTTGCTGAAAAGTGGGACAGAACTGGGGATCGCCAGGTTAAGAGGACTAGCTACCCTTAAGGACAAATAGCATGTGTTGTTGCTGTTTTTATAATCTCACACAAGGGATCTAGATGAAGAAATAAATAAAATGTGCAGGTAGGAACAGAACTATTTGTGAAGGAGAGGGGTAGCCAGTGAGACCAGGGACAAAAGATGCCACGGGGGAGCTGAATACGATCAAATCATATGACACACTCAGAGGAAAGGTGTAAGCAGACCCATTGCTTTGTAAATTAACAAATGTAAATATTATGTTTTACAAAGTAAAACTGTCTTTGCCCTTTCCTTCATTTTTCCAGGGGGAAACTGAGGCACGGGGAAGCTAATAAGGACTGGTTGGAAGTTCCGCTTTGGAAAAATGTGAGCTGAAACACTGAGTGTATGTTAGAAGAAGGGCTGAGGTGCAGTTCATATCTGAGCACTCGGGAAACACTTCCCTACTAGGAACCTCCTGAAGCTGGGAGGAAGGACAGCCCCATGGGGCAAGTCACTTAGGAACGCTCTCTCTCTAGGTCTTGCTGTACTACATTTCAGGGGAAGATGTTCCTTTATCTGTCCTTGCAGGCGTTGGCTCCGTGCACGTGCTCATACCAGGTCTCTGTGGATGAAGCACGCCGTTTCCAGGTAGGCCATGCCCTCACACACATCCAGGCACATGCCCAGCAGGGTCTCTGCCGCAAAGAGGCCCCTCTGACTTCGCAGGTAATCTGACAAGCAGCCGTGTTCCATGAACTCGAACACCAGGCAGATGGGGGCTTGTTCCAGGCACACCCCATAGAGCTGGACCAGTTTGGGATGAGAGAGTTTCCTGGAAGAAAAAAGGCAAGAGATGTGATGACCAGGATTTAGTCTTCCAAAAGTGCTGAACATATTATGGCATCCAGCTCACGGTTCTGAGAATGGAAACAAACTCCAAACTCAAACCAAAGATGGTCATGAAGCCAAGGGCTGAGGACAGGGAGTCAGGTAGTATGAATGAAGATGGACAGACGCCAGTGTGTGCCTGAGGAGAGATGGGTAGGAGAGGAGAATAAAGGTCCAGACCACAGAGCAGGTCCTCTAGATCATGCTCAAGTGTACCCCCTTCCCATGTGTGTGTGCGTGTGCTGTATGTATGTATGTATGTATGAATGTGTGTATGTGTGTGTAGGCCAAGGGTCAAGCATGGGTGTTCTTGTGACACTGTCAATCTTTCCTTTTTAACTTTTTTCTTCTTTTGAAAATAGATTTTTTTTCTCACAATATATCCTGATTACAGTTTTTCTTCTCTCTACTCCCCCATATTCTTTCGTACCTACCCTCCCATCAGGGTCCACTCCCTTTCTGTCTTTCACTAGGGGATAACATTAAAATATTATATAACAATCGAAAACTAACATTAAAGTTAGACAAGACACAAACAGGAAGGAAAGGGCCTAAGTAAGAATCAGAGGCCATTGGTTCACACACCCAGGAATACCATAAAAACACTCAAGTGGAAGCCACAGCATATATACAGAGGATGTGGTGCAGACCCATGCAGGCCCTGGGCTTGCTGCCACAGTCACTGTGAGCTCCTATGAGCTTTGCTCATGTTAATTTAGAGGGCCTTGTTTTCTCTTATAGCAGCAGTATGTACGTGTACCACCTGTGTGTCGTGCTGATCTCTTAGAACTATACAGATGGTAGTGAGCTACAAGTGAAACCACTGAGTCCTCTCTCCAGCCCTCATCTTTTCTTTTTCTGAAAAAGGATCTCACTGACCCAGAACTAGCCAAGTAGGCTAGGCTGGCCAGCAAGCCTGGGATCTGCCTGTCTCTCTTATATCTGTCTCCCCAGCAGTGGGACTCCAAGTACAAGTCACCATACCTAGCTATTTTTTTTTTTTATAACATGGTTTCTGTAGATTGAACTTAGGTCTTGGGGGTTATATAGCAAGCACTTCACCAACTGAGTCCTGATGAGGTTCCCCCCCCCCTCTCTCTCTCTCTTTCTCTCTCTCTCTCTCTCTCTCTCTTTTTTTTCTCTCTCTCTCTCCTCTCTTTTGTTGTTTCCTATGCAGTAGGATTCTACTACTGGGGCCCGATATACATCGGACTGGAGTTTTGTGCACACAGCCCAAAGCCTCCCACACAGGATGCCCGCACACCCCTGCTTTCACTCACATCATGACTTCAGCCTCTTCGATAAAGTCCTCTTCTGACATCGCCCCTTCCTGAATGGTCTTGATGGCCACCTTGTCCTTGTTGAGCCAGTAGCCAAGGTGCACCAGCCCAAATTGTCCACTGCCAATCTCCTGCACAAAAGTGAGCTCTGAGGGGTGGATCACCCACTTCCCTGGAACAGAGAAAGAGAGGGAGGGAGTGGGCAATGAATAGATATAGGACTCTCAGAAATATATACAGTCCTAGCTAGCCTATGGCTACCATATCTCAAAAAATGGTTAATTACTGTAACCTGGGATATGTTTTGGAAACTGCCATAATGTGGGAGTGAGGAGCATGGAAGGAAAAGGAAGATGATGTAAAGTATGGTAAAGAATGTAAATAAAAGGATCATTATAAGGTCCCAACCGCTTTTTTATTTTATTTTTTTCTTTTTCTTTTTTTTCTACACACAATTCTAGTTTATTATGGCAAAGGTGAAAACGCCACCTTTTTATTTAAAATATATATATATATATATATATATATATATATATATATATATATATATATTTCTCTTCAGACAAGAGTCTGGGTCTTATTATGTAGCTCAGAGTGTCCAGAAACTCACCATCTATCCCAGACTGGCCTCAAGCTTGTAATCCTACTGTCTCAGTCTCCAGAGCACACAGAGGCTTACAAATCCCATACCTAAAAATTTTTATTGCCATTTTTGCAGAGGGAATTTCATTTGCAGCTCTTGTTGTTCATTGATTCACTGAGGGTCCCTCTGTGTTCACAGCACTCCGCTAGGATTTGGCCGGAGTGGAGCTGGAAGAGGTGGCTTCAAAGGGGACTTCACAAAGTGAGCTCTTTCTAGCAGGTCCTTTTTTTCCATAAAGATTTCTTTTTAGATTTTCCCTTATGTGTATGTGTGTATGTTAGTGTGAGTGTAAGGCACAGAATGCAGGTTTCTGCAGAGGCCAGGAACAGGGTAGTGGATCTCCTGGAGGGGAGTTCTAAGTCGTTATGAGCCACCAGATGTGGGTGCCAGGAAATGCACTTGGCTCTTGTGGAGGAACAGTAAGCACTGTTACCTTCCCAGCCATGTCTCCAGCCCCAGGACAGGCTCCTCATAAGTGTTTAATAAACAAGTAAAAGGACCTAGGCCTCGATTTTCCTGTTGATAAAATAAGCGGGCTGACCAAATAATCTCTGTGATCTCATCCGGCAGGACACCTTAGAAGTCAACAACACTAGAGAAGCTTTCCTTTCAGAAGGAGGCTAACAATACCTTTTGCTTTCCTGACGCAAGGCCCAGAAACAGCCACGTGCCTATCAAGCCGAGGTATAGACCCCCATCTGCCACACATGCTGCGGGCTGGGTATTAAGAGTCACGGCAGTGTTTCTCCAAGTATTTCCCTGCCCACCTGGGTCAGAATTACCAGGCCACTTGTTAGTAAGGTAGACCCTAAGGCCACACTCTCAGGGAGTGTTCTGATAAGAGCAGGGAGTGCCCCGGCACCAGCATTTTTGATAGATGTTTGGAAAGATTTTGATGCCCACTGAAGTTTGAGAAGCACCAAAGGGTACAAAATAAAGACTAGATTAGTACCCCCTTCAAACAGCACATTTTGGACCAAGGGATGTGAACTGAAATGCCTTTAGGTTCTAGGGAGTTCAACAAGGAGGAAAGGCATTTTGGAGGACAGACATCATAGTAGGACCCATGGCCCTCGGGGTATAGGCTCTACCTAAAGGCATTAAAGCAAACAATTTTTTTCCTGGTGCTGGGGATTGAACTCAGGGCCGGACTCATGCTAGACAAGTGCTCTGTCACTGAGTTAAAGCCCCAGATCTCACACCTTAACATTATATTATGTGAAGACCTCTAGATGCTGAGAGCTCATAGCCCCTGCAGAGGACCCAAAGCCAACAAGTTAGATTATAACAGAGGTTCCAAAAGGCAGAAAACACAGTGCTAGAGGTTTGTTTTCTGAGATTTTCCAATAGCATTTAGTAGAGTACTCTGTATATAGTAGATGCTCAATAAATGCTGCATTAATGAACCGTTCTTTAAAGCCAAAGGACATTGATTTGGTCTTCATAGATGTGTATACACACACATTTCTTACACATTTGCATACGATCGTTATCCTACCATTGCTCCAAGTCATCTAAAGCCTGGAGAACAGTCAGGCTAACGGCAAATCTTCTTAGAATTTGTCCTAGACATTTGGGTATGGGAGCTTGAGCTGCTTACCGTATCTTAGGCCTGCTGTCACTGGGGCTTTCTGCCTCCAGGAGCACACTGGATACCGGAGTCGAGTGACCAAACCTAGGGTGACAGAAAAGTCAAAGGCTGGTTAGGGCTTTGCCATAGCAACTGTTAAGGTTAGATCGCCAGGAATAGAATGATAGGTGAAACAGCTGCTTTCAAATTCCAAAGTTCCACCACGATTTTCACACAGCCCAGTGAGAGGATTCTTAACCACATGACAGAGAGTGACCCGGGGATCTGCAGAGCAGACGTTCCTTCTGGTAGGCAAGGAAGATCTAGGGATTTGGAACTTGGCTGGTTTGCTTCTGCTTATGTTTTTATTTGCATCTCGAGTTACTCTTTATGGCCAGCTTGTGCAGCACGAAGAACCAGGCTGGGACTATGTCACTTCCTCCCTAGTCTCCTTGTGAGAGTCCCCTTCTGGCTCTGTCCCCTAGAACTTACCTCCTCCATTGTACTGGTGATACTTGATGAGGAGAGGGATGGAGTCAAACACGTACTTCTCAGCCACGTAGTACCGCTTCGGGTTGTCATTTGTTTCTTTGATATGATAATGCTTTATACAGGGGTTCTCACTTAAAACAAACGAACATACAGTCATCATCAAGAAGCAATGCTGATGCATAAAGACATGGGTTGGCATTAGGCTCACTGTCCTGGGATGGCAGCTCTCGTCAGGAGGATAGGCACACACTATTTCAAGTGTGTGTATCAGTCTTGGCAGGCTGGCCGTGGTGCTGATGCTGTTTTAAGCACACTGAGGTTGCATCTGAATGTAAGAGGCAACGGTGCTGAGATATGCTGGTGTTGGTAATGCTTCATCCACAGCCACAGAACGTGGGAACAGCACTCTCTGTGCCCTGAGTGCAAATGGAAACCACGCTGGGGTCCTCCATCCCATCCCAGGCTGAATGGCTGACATCAAGCAAACTGACGGCTGATGCTGGTGCGGTGTGAGTTACATGTGTGAGAGAGTTACGTGTGTGCGTGTGAGTGTGTGTGAGTGTGTATGTCTATGTGTGCGCGTGTTTGGGAGAACCCTGTTGATGGGAACACAAACTAGTGCAGCTGCTATCAAGATCAGTATTGAGGTTTCTCCAAAACTAAAGATAGAACTATCACGTGTTCCAGCCACACCATGCTTGGGGGTGGACCAGAAGAACTCTGAGCCAGAATAGCATAGGGGTTTTTGACCACGCATGTCTATGGCTGCACTATTTACAATAGTCAAGATACAGAGTCAGCACAGATGCTCTGCAACAGAGGAGTGGATAAAGAAAATGTGGTTCATATATACACTGAAAATTTATCTAGCTATTAAAAAGAAGAAATTAAAATATTCACAAATGAATAGGTGGAACTGGAAATTATTATGTTAAACAAAATAATCCAGACTCAGAAAGACAAGCACTGAGTGTTTTTTTTCATATGTGGAGTCTAGACAGAACACACACACACGCACACACACATACACACATATCTTTCTGGCACACAGGGTTGTCAACTCTCAATCAAGTAGGTAATTTCACTAGTAGACCAAGAATTGGCATTTGTCTATTTCCTCTTCTAGATGACAACCCTTTCTTTCATTCTATATGTTAACTGACATGCTCACCAAATACAGGGACAAGTATCTGATGTCAGAACTCTGCCATCGGGCCTGGCCATAGCCAAGAAGAGGATCCCGTGTCTACCCAGCTCTGTCTTTTATTAAATCTCTTCAGTTCTGCCCTTGAACTCTGGGCTTTATGTTCACAGGGGCGCTGGCAGAAGCCACACCACTGCTAGTCAGCTCTGCCTGATGCATGGGCAGAGCTTGCTGTGCCTAAACCATCAAACAAAAGCAGCTGTCCTTCTTCGGAGGCAAGTGAGTATCATACCTGATGATGGCCTTGGTGAACACAGAGACTGTGTATGTTCCGGGTGTCCTGGAATCTCGGACCAGGAATGCTCCTTCTTTACCCTGGATTGGGTAGAAAGTGTGAAAGTTTAGTGATCTCAAAAACCAACCTCCTGCACCCAGCTCCATCTTCTTGCTCATGGAAGGAGGAAGCACTGAGTGGCACAGAGCAGACCTTCAGCTGTAGCAGCCACCATCTCAATTACACTTTTGGCAGTTGTTCATGTGATGTCCTACACAGATAGGCAGATACAGGCCCTCTTTCTTACCATTCACCAGGCACTGGACTCATCAGGCATTTCCCAACCCTCTCCACAATGCCCGAGTCCAGTCTGGACGCCATTATCCCCTTTGACAACAAGGACAGCAAAGTGAGTGACAGAGGGAGCAGGTGGCTTTCCCCTGGGTCTGCAGCTAGTGCACAATGGGGTTGGAGTTGGAACTTTGGTGCCATGACCTTTTCTTGCTCGATGATGCTCCAACATCTTCTACACCTGCTGGGGGACAAAACCTATCCTTGAAGCTTGCTAAGTCCCTGGGCAGAGCTTTACTTCTCAGGCGCCTTCCAGAATGCTGATTTCACTGAAGGGCTGGAGGAGAAAGGGCGAGAGGCTAGTGCCGGGAGAGAGGTGGAGAGGGGAGCACCTGACAATTTTGCCCGCTCTGAGGGAATCAGCAGGAGCAAATGAGCATGCCAGTTCATACGTTCTTGATGGGAGCTGAAAAACAAGAACTGTTTTAAGAACCGCACTTTCAGCTCTTCTCCTATCAGTCAGAAACACCTGCGGCTCTTGGTAATTATGACTTACTTAAATTAGACATTTTGAGGGCCGCAAGTGAAGGTCAGAATTGGATAGGAACCTTGCATGGAAGTCTTGTGGTTTATAGACACAGACAACAGGGAAAGTAGAATAACAGAAGCCTCTCCATCCTTCAGTCCGAAAGGAGAATTTTTGCATGAATACACGAACACACGAACACACACACACACACACACACACACACACACAGAGAGAGAGAGAGAGAGAGAGAGAGAGAGAGAGAGAGAGAGAAAGGGAGGGAGAGACAGAGAAGAATACTGATATGCATTCTAATAAGCATTCTGACTACAGATTTGCCTATTGTAGACTTTTTTGTAAATGGAATCATATGTGGTTTTCTGTGAGTGGGTCCTTTCATTTATTACACTGTTTCCGAGGCCCACCTAGGTGGTGACAGGTATAAAGACTTCACTCCTACTTGTGGCTGAGTGATAGTCGAGTGTAGGGACAGACCACGCGTGTTTTCCACTCATCAGCTGATAGTCACCTTCTAGCCGCTGGGAGCAGAGACTTTATGTCTGGATTACTTTGCTTAACAGGTTGCTTGTGGTATTATCCACACATGGGAGGCAGGAGAAACTGTCTTCAGTTTTGACCGTTTGCCTAACAGCGCAGCTTTGGATTGCAGCTGCTTGGAATGTGACGGGTTAAACCTGAGACAGGAAGACGCAGACTTCAAGAGGAGGCAGATTTTATCTGGTTATGTCATTTATTCTAAAGAAAGAAACAGACCAAAAGAGCACCAACTCTCTGAAGAGTATAAACATCTCTTTTATCTAATTAATAATGCCTGGTTGTTTGCGTGGGTGTGACTCTTTCAAAGAAGCGATTGTTTTTCTGTAGACGCGCTGTGATGATAGCAGTCCTCAGCTGCTATGGAGAGGAAGCGCTCTGGAAGCACTAGGGGAAGGAGAGGTGAGGTCACGTGAGGTCTGCAGAGTGTGTCAGGCTCTGCTTCCCTCCAGCACTCCTCCACGGTAGCTGCTGTAGGCGGCCTTGGGTGAAAGCCTCACGGAGTCTCACTTGAGCCGAAGTAGCTAAGAGTTCTGAGGGAAGCATGCACCTTACCACACACTTCCTGCAAGGAGCCGAGAGGTCGCCACAGAAACACCGCCACACAAGAGTGTGGCAGGGGTTACTGACTGGTATCATGTTGCCAGGTGGGGCTTCACTTCCTCTCAACACACTCAAGGTCTCAGTTTGCTTTTTATTGCTTCACTTAGGAAAATACAACGGGAACAATGGAAAAGATGATTTCAAGAGGTGAAGCATGTGTATGGCCCTGGTGGGATAGGAGGAAATAGTAAGTGAAGTACTTCCTTGGACTATCTGGCTGTTTAAAGATACGCCCCTGCATATCTTGAGTGAGGCCATGCCACTGACTTGCTTTCTGAATGTGGCCCCAGTTTATCAGCCTTTAATACAAAGGTGATGGGCCAGGTGGTCTTTAAAGGGAATTCTAGCTATAGCAGCTTGTAGTATTGGTAATTCTAAATGTTTCTTATTAAAAGTACACATGTCAGTTTCCTGACCTGGAAAATGACCTTTTCAAGGCTATTGGGAGACTTAAGCAACAAGCCCGGAATAGTTCCTGGATGTGGATGGACTATTAGGGGTATTAGTTCCCATTATTACCACATGCTGGGGTGTAGCATCTGTTGGAAGCATGCATTACATTGTCTTCATCTGAGACACGTTTTGGTGTGTGTGTCTTTCTGTCCATAGGATTTGAAGGTGACTTTATAGAAGGTAAACTCAAAGAAAAGGTATGTTATTGTCAAAGACAGGGTAATGCTTTGTGGTCTTGTCATGCCCAAGAATGTTTTAAGAATGTCTCTGACATATATCTTTCATTCCGTTATTCAGTCAACACTGCATCTTGGATGGCATCTTGGGGGCACAGGTAAACCTAGGTTAGGCTCCTGTCTAAAGTGTGGGTCACCCAAAGTGTGAGATGCTGCCATAGGCAGATAGTTATGAAATACCTGCTCACAAGGAATTGGTCCTCTCTCTAGATGGGCTAAGACTGAGAGGAAAGGCTGAGTTTGAAGGCCGAGTGCAGACACAACCACTGGAGAAGTGACTTTACACCTCAATGTTTGACCACGAGAAAAAAGAATTCCATCTCACGGCTAGGCAGAGGATTGGATTATTAAAGAAGGTGTTAGCTGAAGACCTGAGAGAACATGCGGGAGATTCTTTCCCATGCTCCTAATCACTTGAGTGGCCCCTGGAGAGGTTCTGACTGGATAGGCCTGGAGTTCAGAAGTTTTATTTTGGGAAGGGGTGTTGATGTTTTATTTTTTTTATGTCTATGAGCATGCTTTTACATGAGTTTATATACAGAAGCCTGCAGAGGCCCTGTGACCAGCCAGGATCCCCTGTGGCCAGCCATATGGGAGCTGGGAATTGAACCTGGATCTTCTGCAAGAACAGTAAGTATTCTTAGCCATCGAGTCATGTCTTTAGGCCTGAGCTTGTATTTCTAAGTTTCCCCAAGGACACGCGTGGTCAGCTAAGTTCCTAGATATGGATACTAGCTTAAAAACACAGAGCAAGCATTGGGTGAACTCACTGCTGCAGCAAGTAGCTTCCGAGTAACTACTTTGTCCTAGATACAGTTTGGGGTAGCTAAGCAAAGTAAAATGGAGAAATACACATACACATACATATACTCTATAACGTGGAAGCTTTAGTTAATAACAGGGAAATGAACATAACCCACCTCTTCCGAGTCAGACACTTGTTAGACAAGAAGACTGAGTACACTGGAGGAACAACATTGTTGAGTCAGAAAGCAAGCACACAGAAAAGTAAGAACGTCTTATCCCATTCTAACTGTCGAGAACCCAGACTGAAGCAGGGAGCCCCCTCTGAAATTTGCCTTCACACTTCCCTAAGAAGGAAGAGAGAATTTGGTAAGTGAATTTAATGTATAGCAAGAAAGAATGTCTCAACTGCATGGGCAAGCAAATATGTTTAAATACCTCAAAAAGTACTGCTCAACCACAGGAATTGCTTTTGTTTGCCATTAATGTGGGCTACTTAAAGCGCTCCACTGTCTTGGCTACAGATGCGGCAGGATGTAATGTAAATGCCCTTGTTTCAACAGCATAATGCAGGGACTTAGTCGTGTGCTCTTTGTAGCTAGTTTTTGTGACTCAAGTTTTACTGTTTACCAGCATTACAGGCTGAGGAATGAGATGAGCTGGCTACATTTGCATCCTAAACCCATCAAGAAAATACAGGAGCAGGGCGGTGGTGGCGCACCCTTTTAATCCCAGCACTCAGGATGCAGAGACAGGTGGATCTCTGTGAGTTTGAGGCCAGTTTGATCTACAAAGTGAGTTCCAGGACAGCCAAGGCTACACAGAGAAACCTGGCCTAAACAAACAAACAAAAAACATGGTTTCTGAGAATTGCTTTTGGAAGTCCTGTTTCTGCAGATCTACCATGGAATCTTAGAATCTGTATTTTTGTTACATTTATTTATTGTGTGTGGGGGGGGACAGGGTGGAACGTATGTACCATGGTATGCATGTAGAGGTCAGAGGACAACTGTGGGAGTCAGGTCTTTCTCTCCATCATTCAGGTCCTGGGTACTGAACTTAGGTTGTTGGTCTTGATAGCAAGATCCTATACCCACTAAGCCATCCCACAGCCCCCTTGAGAATCTGCATTTTAAATACCTGTAGCATGAGGTCTGTTGGGAACCACAGGAAATGGTTAATTGCTGAGAACCAAGGAGAAACAAGCATCCAGGAAGGACTCAGCTCAGGTTCTCTCCCCCTGGGAGAGGGGAATGCTTTCCAACTCTCTGATCTGGGTCTCCCTTCCACTTGCCTCTAGCTCTCCACTGAACCTTGGCTGCCGGTGGGGCCCAGGTGTAATGGCAGTGACTGTGTGCGCACGGCCAGGAGAGTACAGGGGCAGCATCCATGGGGGTAACAGGTCATTGGCACCCAGGCATACTCAGATGCTCAATCTGTCTTTACTGACAAATGGGGTCCAGAAGGCAGAGGAGAAATCCCTAGAGTCACCTTCTCAGTTGATGGCAGAACAGAGGTACCCATCCCACCCATTCTGCTTTCTTTCTTCTCATCCTCCTTTCCCTTAACTCTGAGATCCCAGGGAGAGGTCAGTCCCTCTGCCAGACTGCATGGTCTCGGACAAGACCATGGAGGAGAAAACTGTCCGATTCCTGTAAACTACAGCCCCTTCAGGCAGGAGCTGATCCTGAGACAAAGCAAAGCAGAGCAGTCCTGAGGACACTCTGAGCCAAGCCACTTGGCGGCAACTGTCAGCAGAGACCTGCTACCTCCCCAAGTTTCCTCTCCTATGCCTTCTGACACTAATAGTCCTCAGACATGAAAGCCACCGTAAGTCAACACAAGAATCTACGACAGCAGCAGAACCACAGCATGGCTGGAAACCGTACAATTTGAAGGAGACTCACCGTGTCCAAGAGAAGCTTTTCAGCTTTGTCTCGGCTGGTGTTTTTATTGTACCACCTGGAAGCCAAAAACAAGTTATGTGTCACAGCTTGAAAACTCCATCGCTTATCTACAAAAGATGATGCTGGAAAATCACGTGTTGGTTTTCTGTTTCTACCAGTGCTTTCAAACTCAAAAAGAAAGCCATGATCATTTCCAGGAGAATTTAAAAAAAAAAAAATGAAGCAGGAGTTGGCATAATACTGGTAATTGTTAAAGTAGAGTTTCAGGGCTTACTTTATATTGTGCTTTCTACTTTTATGAAAGTGGGAAAATTTCCATGATAGTGCTGCAGGAAACATTCACCTCCCCCATTTCATACATCAGTGGGTGGCTGTAAGTAGGAGGGTGTTACGCAGCCATAAAAAAAGTTAATAGTGATTTACAAGTTTAGCAAGTATCTTTCAAAAACAGTTGCCATATTTTCTTCTTAAGGCTGGACCTCCAGACTTTGCAAAGTTTGTGAAATTGATGAATGTAATTAATAAATGAAAAAAAAAACAGGAATAATTTTTAAGAATGAAGTTTTGCATGTTCTCAATGCCGAGACTCATCCTGACCATCCTAACAGCTTAGAAAAGAGAAAAGTGTGGATGGGGGAGAAGGGACCCCTCAGGGTTAAAGAGAAGAAAGACAGGAAATGGCTCTGCAGGTTATTCAATGTCCATGCATCTGTGTACCTGCAGGACAGTCTGTAGACCACGTGGATATGCACACATGCAAGTTGGTCAATAGTCCCATATGGTGTGAGCAAACTGACCATGTCTCTCTTTCAGCCCCCTTCCTTGCCCATCCCTTCTCACTCTAGCCATTAAGCGTAGTTTAAAGTATCCAATCGAATTACTGCAACCATAGATAAGATACAAAGAAGCCCAATACGAACAAAAGACTCAGAGCTGTAACCTTCATGCTCCCCAGCACTTGAATAGTAATTCCCTAGAAGCCTGAAGGACATTGGTAAAAGAAGTCTACAGGGTGGTCTCACTTCTGGACCAGAAAGCCTGCAATAAAAGTAGAATGATCATTCTTTGACAATTTGTTTTGGAAATTAATAAATCAGGAGAAGCTCTAGGTGGGGAAGGAATAGTATCTAATAAATTTGTATGGCTACTTGAGGGTATCTAAGAATAAGAGACCCAGGGGATTCCCTTGAGCTTTAAAAACACGGTATGGGAACTGGGCGGTGGTGGCGCATGCCTTTAATCCCAGCACTCGGGAGGCAGAGGCAGGCAGATCTCTGTGAGTTCAAGGCAAGCCTAGTCTACAAGAGCTAGTTCCAGAACAGGCACCAAAACTACAGAGAAACCCTGTCTTTAAAAAATATCAAACAACAACAAAATAAACAAACAAAAAACATAGTATGGCTGAGCAAACTGTACACCTCATGGGCTCCCAGAGATAAGCTGACAGCCGGCAAACATGCTTTGTCCCATCCAAGCTCCAAGCAATGTGTATGGGTTACTAGATCTGCGGATCTAAAGTGTGAAACAAGTTGGGTTTCAGCGGACAGTAGTGTCCCTGTCACAGAAAGAGGTCTACTTGTATGCATGGGGAGTGAAGAGGAATGTCTGCAGTATGGTGTTTTGGCTGCCTCTGTTTTTCCTACCCCTTCCTTTACCAGAGGAAGGAATCAGAGCTCACATGGGGTGCATAGCCTCTCTCGTACAGTTTTGCTATTTTGTGATTTCAGTTACCCATAGTCAACCCACAGTCTTAGAAAATGCTAAATGGACAGTTCTATAAATTTACCATTATAAGTTATGAGTAGCATGATAAAATCTCATGGTGATCATCTAGGCTATAAGTCATCCAAGAGACAACATACCTGCTACATACACTATCTATCAGTCATTTGGTAGCTGTGTGGGTTACCAGATAGACTGCCATAGTATTGTTGCGTCTGTGTTCAAGTGACTCAGCACTATGCAAGAGTAGTTATGATGGCAACTTTGTGATAGTATATTGTTTTAAGTGCTATTTCATCGCTAGCCATTGGTGTTAATCTCTCAATGTATCTAATTTAAAGTAAACCCTAACACAAGGTGTACATAGAAGGAAACACATAGTATATACTGAGTTCAGAGCTACCTGCAATTTCAGGATACACTGTAAGTCATGAAACACACCACCAGGAATAGTAGACTACTGCAACCTGTCCAAAGTCCTGCCTCTAAACCAAGGCAGGAACCCTGAATTCAGCTAAGCTACTAACCCATGGTTCTCTTACCACATGGTATATTTTTGGGTTATTATGCAAAACTCACCTGCAAGTAGTAAACATTAAGTTAAAGAATAAAATGTCTGGGGCTGGAGAGGTGGCTCAGTGGTTAAGAGCATCACCTGCTCTTCCAGAGGTCCTGAGTTCGAGTCCCGGCAACCACATGGTGGCTCACAACCATCTGTAATGGGGTCTGGTGCCCTCTTCTGGCCTGCAGGCATACATGCAGGCAGAATACTGAGAATACTGTACACATAATAAATAAATAAATATTTTTTTTAAAAAAAAGAATAAAATGTCTGGATAGCTTTTCTATGTCTAGCTACATATTAAATATCAGAATGTTTTCTTATGTCATATTATTTTCTAGCTGGGATTTCATAACCCAGGAAATGTAAGCTGGCATGGTACAAACTGGTGCACAGACCATATGTTTTTTATTAAGAAAATGTCTTAAAATTCCTTTAGGTCAGAGATATACATTTTTTTACTTGCCCCCAAAGTTCCATCAATTCTCTATGGCTTTTTATTTTATTGAGGCTTTGAACTTGCTTCTCGAATCATAAACAAAGGGATTTTGGTCAAATGCCAAAACAAACACAGTTATTCAGCCAAGTAGTCACTTGAAATAACGGATTTTTTCCTCCAAAGGCATTGACTATAAAACGATTATTTCAGCTAAGCATCTCTCTCTCATCTGTTTCATCTCAGCACAAACATTCTTGGAAAGGATGACTCATCTCTCCGCTCAGGGAAGGGCTATTCACACATATCAAAGCATCGAGAGACACTCTTAGGAAGATGACAGCACTTGCTTACCAGAATCTATTCAGATTGCAAAAAACATTACATTGGCCAAACTGAACTAGCAAGAATCCTACTGGACTAGTGGAAGTTCTGGTTATCTAACACCCTTCTTCTACGATGTTACATATTTAGTGAGTACCGATTTATTTATTATTTTTTATTTTGGGAGAGGCTTTATTTCATCTTCAGGTTACACTCATCAAGGGAAGCCAAGGCAGGACCTCCAGGGAGGAGTTCGAAGCGGAAATGACCGAGGAATGCTGTTGACTAGCTTATTCCCAGGTTCATAGTTAGCTATCTTGTTTTCCTCTCCTTTACTTTTGAGATTATAATTTAACTAAAACACTTCTCTCTTCCCTTTCCTTCATCCAAACCTTCCCGCCTATCTCTTCCTGATCTGTTTCCAATTCAAAGCCTCTTATGTCACTAATTGTTACTGTACTGAATACTATACTGAATACCGTTAGGTCTGTATAATGCTACCTGTATGTATGTTTTTAGGGTTGACCGTTTGGCACTGGACAACGAATTGTTGGTTCTTCACTCAGGTGCCTGTAGCTCTCTGGGTAGGGCTGAGGCCTTGTGAGGCTCTCCCCGCCTAGTTTGGTATGTTCATGGCTGTCCTCCTTCCTTGTCCAGCTCACGGTTGGGCAGCTGTGTGGGTAGGGCTTTATGGGTGTAGCTTCTGACATTGTTAGGAGACACAATCTCAAAGCAAACTTCCAAATTCTCTAGCTCTTACAATCCTTCTGCCCATTTCCTACAATATTCCCCGAACCGCAGGTAGGGGAGTGTTTTGTAGATGTACCTACTGGGCCTGGGCTCCACAACTCTGTATTTTGGGGCAGCAATATGGCTCAGCTAGTAAAAGCAATTGCTGAGACAGTTCAATTATGGGAACCTAGAGGTGGAAGGAGAAAACCAACTCCAGAAAGTTGTTCTCTGGCCTTCACACATCCTTCCCAGCACATGCAAGCACACTCTCGCATACAAACAATAATAATAAAATTTAAAATTTTCAAACTTGTATAAAAGTTTAAAAACAGTACAAAGGAACTCCCATTGACTTTTTTTCTAGATGAATCAGTGGCCGAAAGCTTATATATCTACTATTCTCTCTAGATAATTTAGGCATATGGATGGGTATATTTAATTATTATATTGATCTATTATTTTGTGTGTGTGTGTGTGTGTGTGTGTGTGTGTGGTGTGTATGCATATGCATGTGTGAGATCAGAGTACAACTTTGTGGTGGGAGCTAGTTCTCTCCTTTCACTTTATGAACATTTGGGAATCAAACTCAGGGCATCAGTGCACAGCAAGCCCTTAACACGAGCTGTCCCAGAAACCCTAATTAATTTTTAGTATTACTTGAGAGTAGACTTTTATGCCTAAGTACTCAGTGATCTGTTTACTATCTTATCATTATCAATTTAATAATGAATTTTAGTATCTCTATAAATTGTCTAATTGCAGACCTTATCAAAGCTGTATTACTTTCCCCAATACTGTATTGGTAACAAAACATTTTTATGGCCATTTATTTTGTAGAATATTCCTTAATTTTGACTTGGTACAGTATCCATAATTAAATTCGTATTTTATATATTTTGGAACAGGGATAATAATGGACAATATTTTAGAGCCATTTTGAGATGAGTGTTGATCATAAGATGGGGTCTACCAGTTATCCCCATCTTATAGTTACAATTGATTTAGGAAGGGATTACTTTGAGCCTATTAAAAAAAACCCTTTATTATATTTATTACATTTCACTCCTTGGTTGGGACATTCATTGACTTTGCCAGAACTAATACTTAAGAGTTACAAATGGTGGTTTTCAAGCTTTGTCAACTTCCTACACCTATTAGTAGGCATTCTCCTAAGAAAGAGCTTTGTCTCATTTATTTAATTACTTACAATCAACCTATTTATTACGGGTTATTATTTCATTCAATGAGTTACAGTCCACTACTATCCTTATTTATTTTGATACTCAAATTTTCCCATTCCGGTTAGCAAAGCTTTAGAACACTCACTTCTGTAATGAAATCACTGAAATATTTTTTCAAAAAATACTAATTCTTTACTTTTTAGTGCAACAAAACATCCCAAGCTCATCTTATTCTTTCCTCGCCTCAACCTAGGAGTCCTCATGCCCCACTGCCTCCAGAAGTCACGGTTCTCTTTGGTGGGGATGCCATTCAGAAACAAGATCAAAGTGGTAGCTGTAGACCTTCCAGCCTCTGAGCTGGGAGTACACATGCACAGTGGGTACTTGTACACTCTATCGAATTTTACCAAACAAACACTTAACTTTTCCACTAAAATTGAGCCCAGAAACTTTTCTCCTAAGTGATGGCTTACTGATAAACATAGCACAGCCTAAGCAGATACTACCTGAGAGTTTGAATGTTGTCCTGATATTGGCAATATTGTGTTTAATTATGTTTTAAGTCAGTTGATATTTTATCCAATATTCAAAGGGATTTTCTTTCTCAAGTGACCCATACTCGGGATTCTCATTAAAAGATTTCTCTTCTACAGAATATTTTTCAAGATACCAAGAATCATTTCTTAATAAAAGGGGAATGTAGTGTACTGACCACACTCCTTTTTCCCCCCATTTGGGTTAAACAATCATCAGAGAATAAAATAAAACAGATTTTTTAAAAAGGGATTTTTGGGAACTTTTAAAGCCAACCAATAGTTTGACTTAAGAAAAAAAAAAAACTTTAGTACCATGGTTCTAAAAAAACTGTTTGAAGCAGGGTGTGCTGACACATGTCTTTATCCCCACCACTTAGGATGCAGGGGTGGGGCAATCACTGAGCTTTAGGAGAGCCTGGTTTCCATAGTGAATTTCAGATCAACCTGGGCTACACAATAAGACCCTGTCTTCATAAACAAACAAACAAATAGACAAATAAGTAAATGATAAGTAAAAAAAAAATGGAAGACTCTTACTCATAGGTTTCAAGGTTATTTGGAGATTTTTCCACCAGGTAACTCCTTGGTGCATATCCTTCATGCCTGTAAAAAGGAAAACAAGTGTTCAGACATGCAGAGAACTGATTTTTACATTTTGATTTAATAGATTTAATCCACTAAAGTCACTTAAAAATGGGAAGTCTCACATTATTTGACACTTGTGATAAAACATATAAAAATTTGGGGGTAGAACAGCTGATTAAAGTAGCAAAGGTAAGCTCCGGCGAAAGCAGCACACTCCACCACAAAATACAAACTATAATAATAAATAAGTGGCCGTTTACTTTAAAGGCTCTGAATGCTGTTCTCATCATCAAATTTCCTCTACTGGAAAAAATATCTTTCAGTCTTCATTTTCTATAATTAATTTTTGTGATAATCAGTATTTTTCCACTTTATGCCATTATTTTCCAGTATGGAAATCAAAGTAAAGTCAGACATAAGAACCCATCTTTCCAACCACAGGTCTCTAAAGATCATTCCCAGTTGGTGCTGTACACTTTTCAGTTTAAGACCTTCATAGCTGAGCATCTTCAGAGAAAGAACCATGAGATCTAGGATACAGTCAAGCTGAGCAGAGAGTCCACGCCTGTGATCTTAGGACTCAGGAGGCTGAAGCAGGAAAAGAGCTGTGAATGTGAGGCCAGCCTCAGTTACACAGGGAGTTCCAGGCCAGCCTCAGTTACACAGTGAGTTCCAGGCCAGCCTCAGTTACACAGTGAGTTACAGGCCAGCCTGAGGTACAGTGTAAAATCCTGCATAAGATCAAAAAAATGGTCAAGGTCAAGCTGGATTCCAAGGTCAAATGTCATATTTGAGCTGGAATTAATAGTATAGAAATGAACATTTGAGCTGGAATTAATAGTATAGAAGTGAAAAAATATGACGAAAAGTTAATAAGCATTACCAACACTTTTTACATTGTGTACAGCTTTGTAGATCTTGAAGCTACTTTGTAGTCATCCCTCAGCACCAGAAAGCAGGTAAAGAGCTCCTTCAGCTCTCTTAGCTTCCAGTTTATATTATTTTTTTTCTTTCTTGAGACAGGGTTTTTCTGTGTAACAGTCCTGGATGTCCTGGAATTCACTTGGTAGACCATGGTGGCCTCGAACTCCTAGAGATCTGCCTGTCTCTGGCTTCCAAGTGCTGGGATTAATGTCATGTGCCACCTCTGCCTGTCGGCTTCCAGTTCTTACCAGTGAAATGAATGATTTATACTTGATTCCATCTAAAATACCTCCTGATTCTGCCAAAGTACAAGATGAACAAAAATACCCTTCTCTCGGCCTTTCAAACCTTAATACTAGCCTACTGGCTCTTCTATATCCTGTTGGGGGTATGCTAATTTGGTAAAATTTTATTAGAAATTATCTGTTAAAATTAAAACATCATATACTCTGACTTAACATTTCCATAGTTATAACTGAGATATATGTGTGCACATGTGTACACATCCAAAAGCTTGTCATGTCACATAAACATTGCCAGGTCTTCACTGAAGCTTTGTTCAACATAACAGAGAAGGGCTGCAGAAACGGCTCAGTGATTAAGAGCACTTCTGGCTCTTGCAGAGGGCCTAGGTTTGACTCCTAAAAGCACCAACATGGTAGTTCACAGCCATCTGTAGCTCCAGTTTGAGGGGATTCAGTGTCCTCTTCTGATACCCGTGGTTATCAATCACGCACATCATACACATATATACATTGAGGCAGAACACTCACATGTTAGAAAGAGGTGACTTTGTATGTATTAATATGAAAAGATTTTTAAGAGGTATGATACGAAGATAAAGGCAAAGAAGGGAATGGATCATTTGAGCAAAATACACAAAATGCACTTGTTATGACCAATTCTTGTGTCTGGGCACACACAGAAGTTTTAGCAGTGATTATGGAGTTGATGACTTTTCATGTATGCTTCTTTCTACAGTGAGTTTACTTTCTAAATTTCTTTTCTTTCTTCATTGCGGAGAACTGAACCAAGGGTATCATGCATGGTAGATACACATACTTGAGTGGTTTTTTTTTTAAGAAAAAAATGAAATATTGACATGGCATAGTGATGTTTCAGTACTAGAATATATTCTTTTTCTTGTTTTAAAATTAATAATAATTTCATAATATTAACACTTGATATTAATATATAAGGATATTGATCACAGTAATTGTTTTAGATTAGAGAAGTGCTCATGAGATGTTTTCCATTCAAAACCCCAGAGTAGGCCATTAGTACTGTAGAACCTTGTTGTCTCTATATATCTTTTAATGCTTGCTTTCATAATGAATTCTCTGGTGTCATCTGAGACTTTCTAACCTAACTGATACTCTGTGCCATCTTGATACACCTTTTCTTTCCACTTACTTCACAATGTAATTTATTTAAAAACTTAAGAACATCACAGAGCAAGTTGCCAAGCCCCCAAACTGTCAATCCAGTGGAAATCTGAGGGGTTTTAGATGGGTTGAAGACAGGGAAGGGTTAAGATGGGCACAGGGAGTAAGTATGGCAAGCCTCTCTGCTACTTTGGAGAAGAGAAATGACCAGCTCTCTCCTCTCTCCCTCCCACTGTGCTCAGCTCTGCTTTCCTAACTCAGCCTCAGGGCAGCTGAAGGACACGGATATTCCTCCCCATATTTGCTTCGTTCCCATAGCAACCATGCTCTTGTCTTACCCATTCTTGTCTTGAACCCTCCACCAGTGGCTCTCGGAGCTGTCCAGCAGGTAGTACTCTTCATTGCACTGCAGTGCAAGCTCCTGGGGGTCATTGGGCTGGTAGTCATACAAGGCAATGACCACGGATTCTTCAGGTTCCAGAAGTGATCGCTTGGGAAGAGACAACAAAACCAAACAAAGATGTAAGAAGGGGGGTGAGTCCCTGGGGTCCTGGATTTAGACTAGGTCAACACGCCAGCTCCCTTCATCCACTGGGGCCATTTGTAGAGACAGCTGCTTTTCTCAAGTTGGCACTCTTTATGAGTTAGAATTATGGGGCTGACAGATGCAAACAGCAGCCGTACGTACCTCTGTCATTCTGTGAGGTAAATTCGGATCCTGGAAATCCAAGAAGCCATGTACTTTTCATAGATAACTACTGGTTTCTATATTGGCATATTTGATTTGTGGGTCTACCCAGATACATCTAATTAGAAGTTACCAGGGCTGGAATTCCCTCAAGAGCCCATTTTGCCAATGTTTTTATTTAGAATGTGGAATGAGATCCCAAGGCAGGGAATGGGCATAGCCAGCTCCCAGAGAGTTCAGCTCAATGCTCCCTCTACGGTAACACATGGCTCCTTTCTTTCTTTTTCAGAAACCTTGACCTATGCCTCTGTCCCACACTGTGGTGGTTTTAATAGGAATGGCCCCCACAGACTGATGTGTTTGAATGCTTGGCCCATAGGGAGTGACACTATTAGGAAGTGTGGCCTTGTTGGAGTAAGTAAGCACTGTTGGGGCAGGCTTTGAGGTCTCTTATGCTCAAGTTACACCCACTAAGGCCGAGAGTGTCTCCTGCTTCCTGCAGATCAAGATATAGAACTCTCAGCTCCTTCTCCAGCATCATGTCTGCCTGCATGCTGCCATGCTTCCTACCAGAATGATAATGGAGTAAACCTCTGACACTGTAAGCCATCCCCAATTGAATACTTTCCTTTATAAGAGTTGCAGTGGTCATTCTGTCTCTTCATAGCAACAGAAACTCTAACTAAGACACATACCGTATTTCACTTAGGATGAGATATTAATGACATGAAGAACAGCTAGTTCATAAGGCAAACAATCACCAGAGGTCAAAATGAGCACATGTGAGACTGAGTGACAGATTTGGGAACAAAGTTAAACATGGAAAAAGATTGAGCTTTTGGCTGGAAGGTGAGGTAGTGTTGGGAAGTCATACATTCTCTGAGTACAATGAAGTCTTGGTATTTATAGAGCTTGAAATAGGTGGTGGGTTGGGCCCTCCAGACAGCCAAGAGCCTGTGGACCTGAGGCTTTGCAGAGAACTAGCAGATGGAGAAACTGTGTTCAAGGCACCAGAAGAAGGCACAGAAGTGACATGTTACTCATGTAACTATAGGCCCAACTCCCTACTTGACCCTTAAAGGAAAAGTGTTAGCACAGAGGTTTAGACAATGGTGATCCATTTCTACAGGGGTCATATAGAGCACATAGTGGGGGACTGTCTTGTTATAATTGATGTTGGAGGGCTCAGCTCACTGTGGGCAGCATCATTCCCTAGGCAGGTAGCCCTGGGAAAGACCTCAAGACTTCTTGGTACTTGGTTTGCTAAGTTTAAAAGCAAGGGTAAAATTATAACTATTCAAAGTGAATAGAACACAGTTTTATCATAAATAGCAAACATGCGGAAGTGCTTTGGAGTATATAAAGAATTATCAGGTGTTTGTCTATGGAGTGTTCTATGTTGAGGCAGACAGACAGCTTGGTACCAGTGCTTGTAGACTGTGTATAGGACCTGAGTGACCCTAGAAGTGAAGAGACACACTAAACAAACATTTCTCAACCCATGGGTTGAGACCCCTTTGGGGCCAAATAACTTGCTCACAGGGGTCACAAATCAGATATCAACATTACAATTCATAACAGTAGAAAACTTATAGTTATGAAGTGGCAACAAAAATAATTTTATGTTTGGGGGGTCACCACAACATGAGGAACTGTATTAAAGGGTCACAGCATTAGGAAGGTTGAGAACCACTACACTAAATAGCCTCAAACCCAATGTGTTAAACCTAATTGCAACTGTCTACTACACACACACAGATCTGAGAAACAGGGAGGTCACAGGCTTACCACACACAAGCCCACCTCACTCACCCTGTTGTCTTCGGGAGTAGGAGGAAGAGGCTTCTTTGAAGCTGAAACAGGAAAAAGAGAAAGAGAAGATGAGCATGAAACCCCAGCCTTTCAGAGAAAGGGGGCCCAAGGGGAGGAGCGCAAAAAAAGGGGCAGAAGGAGATGATGAAATACAGACACGGGCATCAACCTTGCCAGAACCTGTCTTTCATCTCTGGCACTTGCTAGTTTCCAATTCCTCTTTCTAGAAGATTCTAGAGACTCCCAGAAGCCAGTATTTTAGGATTTCCTTCTGTATCTCCTGGCTGGGAAGGAGCCAAGATTTGGGCTCTTCTCTGCAGGTAGAAAGACTTCCATGAATACATATGTCACCTTCTGAGCTCAGGAGTGGGAATATGTGACTCAGACAATGAGTCACTACCTTCCTGATGCCACCGTGGGTTTGATGGGGTGGGAGAGCATTGTGCTTTCTGAGTGGGCTGAGGTTTGCTTTTAGTTGCTTTGAGGCATTTAGATACATATTCTCCACGCCTTCCTTCAAACTCACCTCTCCTTCAAAATCAATCTCTCTCATTCCTTTTTTAAAATATTTTTTAAATACAATCCTTTCTCATTTTACATAGCTATCCCCATTACCACTCCCTCCCCTTCTTCCACCTCACCCTTCCCCCCAAACCACTCCCCGATTCACTCCTCAGAAAGGCTTTCCATGGGGAGTCAACAAAGTCTGAGTCTTCACTTGGAGGTAAGATCAAGACCCTCCCCCCCCTATAACTAGGCTGAGCAAGGTATCCTTCCAAAGACAGTGGGCTCCAAGACACCAGTTCAAACACTAGGGATAAATCCTGGTCCCACTGCCAGTGGTCCCACAGGCTTCCGAAGATTCACAACTGTCACCCATATTCAGTGGGCCTAGTTTGGTCCTATGCAGGTTCCCCCACTATCCATCCAGTCAGTGAGCTCTCACAAGCTCAGGTCAGCTGTTTCTCTGGGTATCACCATCATGGTCTTGACCCCTTTGCTCATTCTCTCTAATTTCTTTGTGTTTTTGTATCTCCTCTTTTTTGCCTCTTTTCTCTCTTTTTTTCCTTCTCTGCTTCCTTTATCTTCATCTCCATCTCTCAGTTGATCTATAGACCATGTTCCTTATATCACAGGCCAGGCCTAGAAACTATGGACATCAAATTTGTGTGTGGGGGGGAGAGAGGGAGGGAGGGAGGGAGGGAGGGAGGGAGGGAGAGAGAGAGAGAGAGAGAGAGAGAGAGAGAGAGAGAGAGAGCGCAAAGGCATGGGCATGTATAAAAGTTTCAATTCAGTACAATGAACTCCTTAAGCACTGGAGATAAGAGAATGGCCTGAGTGGGACAGCTAGGAGGTTTTCATCCCTACATGTGGTAGAGTTGAAGATAGCCTATATCATGGATGTGGTAGATAAGATTCCTATGTGGATACCAGAGCCCAATTCCATGCTGGCTCCCTGAGCAAGGGTGGGTTGGAATATTGGCTTGTGTAAACAGTGAACAAGATGAAGAAGTCACACACAATCAGAACTCTAGCTTCTGGGCTGGGGTTATTATAAGTTAGTGGTAGATCTCTTGTATGAAACAGCCCCAGGTTTGATCATCAGTGACCCACACACACAGAGGTCTGGTTTCTATTTAGTATGGGACATGGACCAGCAAACTGGATTAACCCTAGCATCACCAGAATGAGCCCCTTCTTTGCCAGGACATCTTCTGATTGGTCACTTTCTCTCTCTCTGGTGATCTTGCTCTATTTGCCCATATTCTCTCTGTGTATAATGTGGGGATGGGATGTAGTTAGGACTGGCTATGGTGGTAGAAATGTGTTGCTAAGTCATTTCCTCTCAGCCATTTTGCTGTTTCTCAGATGCTGCAGTATCTCAGACCTGGCTGCTTTCATCACAAATAGGAAAGGCTAATGGACATGGTTCCCATTTACTGAGAGTGCATTAAGGGTTGGCAATGCGCCAAGAGCTTTCTACTACCCTGATGAGTCTTCCAACAGCCACTTGAAGTAGTTGCCTATTATTCTATCCATTTAGGAAGAAATTACCTGAGCTTCTCAGAAAGGTTAAGTAGTTCATAATGTTATGCAACAAGAAAAGAATGTGTTGGGATCTTTTATTTTTTAATTCCAAAGCTCTATGCTCACATACCTTGCACTGTTGATATATTCAATACAAGAAATCCTCAGAGCCATTACCCCAGGAATATGATGTGTTGTGTGCACAGTGAAGTATGTTTCCCCAAATTGCTTGCAATCCTGCCAAAACTATGGTGAGTGACGCTACCTAAGTCAGAAGAGACGGCAGTGGGTTGGTGTGCAAATGCAAAGTTATCAGCCAAACGGCTGCACCTCACATGCATGGCCATGGCTGAGAGCTGGGATCAGCATGGAAGGGCAGGTAAATATCTGTCCTTCCAAAGGATAGTCATATTGAGTTACTCAATCATCCGAACACTTCAGTCACATGCCTCAGGGTGAGAGAAAGCCATGAACCCTGCTGAGGGGCATTGCAACCTCCATGGGGAAAACTGCGAAATGGAAGTAGATTCGAAGGGGATTGGGTGAGGGATTATATCATCTTAGGGTTCTGGGACCTCTTGTACCACTTTAGGAGTGAGGACATTAGGGTCCCAGGTTACCAGGTGACTCCTACAAGGGTCCACAGAAGGGTATTGGTAGAGATCAGAGATTATCTCTGCTTCTGGAGGGGCTTCTTCTCAGGAGCTAGGCATCCTGCCAACCCCTAAGGAGATCCATGTCATCAAACTTCTGTTCTCTCTGAGTAGATACAGCCAGCAGGACAAACAGCACTAAAGAGTGGGCGCCCACCTCCACGATGCTAAGCATCATTCACGTAGGCCAACAGACGGATGACCTTGATTCTTTCTTTTCCAAGTGCGAGGTGAGAAGCAGTGGTTTCTAAAATGGCGGTGAGAGGCTGTGACTCAGGAAACCATGGAAAACCCAACTGTGTGTTATATCCGCCTTGTGTCAGGACAGTAAAAACCACAGGATGAGAAATAGTGTCTGTGGTAGGAGAGGCTGAGAGATGAGAAAGCTGGACGTAAGACATTCGTTTCACCCCTTCCTCACTGTGTGACCTTGAACTACTCAAGGCTGTCCATTTCTTTGACGTCGCTCTCTACCCAAGACAGCAGTGAAGAAGCAAAGCATGACATTGTAAACGTGCATCTGAGTCTAGAGCTACAGTCCACTGGAGGTGTCCCCAAGTCACCATGACATCAGATACAAATGAAGACACGGTCCAGTCCCCAGAACTGGGCTTTTGTTAGGAAAACCAAGAATAAACTTTTTTTAAACTTTGCATTTAGACTATGGATTCCTTTTCTCTGAGACTGAGCAGGTCAAGGTCAAGTCTGAAGACCAGGCAGGAAGAAGCCAGAGTTAGAATTAAAAGAAGTTTTCTCTCTCCCTCAAGCTTTTGGAGTTGAATTTATATAGTTAGACATATGCGTGGGGGTGACGTCACTAAAAGAAATAAAAAAAATATTATGCATTTAAGGCTGTCTCCATAATTTAAGATCTAAGACCACTCAGACTTCCCGACAGGCTCCAGCAGCACTTCCCAGCTTTCACTATTGTCTACCAGTGCCCCGTGGAGCTTGTTAACATGCACATTCTCATCTAGTAGACTGGGCAGGGCCAGATATTTTTTTTAAAATATTTACGACTAGCTTCCAGATAGTTATAGGTGACCAAGGATCACACTTCAAATGCATGAGCTATGACATGGAAAGGCATGGAAGGGATGGTAGATAGATATGCCCCAATGAAAATTCTGGAACTAGAGAATTTCGCCTTCGGTCTCTGAACCCCCGTTGATAGGAAGCTGAGATGGTTCCCTCTTGTCTCGTTCCCAAAGTCTTACCGTTCTTGGTCGGGTCATAGGGGGCACAGCCTACTGCAAGTTTCTCCAGCTGGGAACAGCATCTCCATCGCCCATCCATCCAGAAATTAGGGTGATACTTGGACACCAGGCTGTTGTTATTCCTCGTTTCTGTAAGAAGTTGATACCAACAGAGAGCTCATTTCCAGGCCAGCTGATTGAGCACCACCAATCTTTTCACTCACTAAGACGGGACTCTGGGGTAGGCGTCTCCTGAGTGCTAATTAGGACAGCCAGGCAACCCCTTGTGCTGCTATTGAGGGAGCATGGGTTAAATCCGTCACCAGCAGATCTACTTTTTTTTCTGGATCTTCCTCCCCTTGGCTGTGTGCCTCTAGGATGGGGAACCCTCACATAAACCTCAGTTTCCCCAGATTTCCCTGCTATGTCTTCACCTGGATGAGTGTGGTCTACGATGAAGCCTTGCGGGCTTAAGGAGACAGTTGAGAGAGTGTAATTTCCACCTCTCTCACTTTGAATGACAGAAAATTTGCTATTTTATTTTTTATTTTTTTATTTTTTTATTTTTTTTGGTTTTTCGAGACAGGGTCTCTCTGTGGCTTTGGAGCCTGTCCTGGAACTAGCTCTGTAGACCAGGCTGGTCTCGAACTCACAGAGATCCGCCTACCTCTGCCTCCCGAGTGCTGGGATTAAAGGCGTGCGCCACCATCGCCCGGCTATTTTTTATTTTTTAAGGAAAGGCCTCATGGAGCTAAGGATGTCCTTACACTCCAGGTCTTCTTGCCTCATCCCCCATGTGCTGGGATTCCAGGTGGGCATCACCATGTCAAGTGTGTACGGTGCTGGTGTTAGAATCCAGGGCTTCAGAATCCATGGGAGGTTAGCACACTACCAACCCAGCTGCTCTGTAAATTTGCTTCTATTCCCTCTAGGCTAAGGCTTTGAAGTATAATTTGTTAGGAATAAAAGGGGCTCTACTAGTGAAAATCAAGAAAAATCCCAACATTAGTGAATATCTAGAGCTCATTCCAATTTTAAAATTCATATCAAAAACCTGGTATAAGATACACGAAAATGCCAGGCAGTGGTGGCACACACCTTTAATCCCAGCACTTGGGAGGCAGAGGTAGGCGGATCCCTTGAGTTTGAGGACAGCCTGGTCTATGGAGTACATACCAGGAGAGCTAGGGCTACACAGAGAAATGCTGTCTTGAAAACCAAAACAAAATAACAACAACAAAAGATACAGGAAAATGAACATAGCCCTAGCTCTCCTGGTATGTACTCCATAGACCAGGCTGTCCTCAAACTCAAGGGATCCGCCTACCTCTGCCTCCCAAGTGCTGGGATTAAAGGTGTGTGCCACCACTGCCTGGCATTTTCGTGTCTATTTTCCACCCATGGCTACTGGACCTGAGAGCGTTCCTGCTGACCCATCGCTGGCTGGTTCCCAGTCCATTTGAAATTCATTGACCCTGGTAGCCTACAACATCACTTTAGCCTCATTTTTTAGACAGAAGAACTGTGCCTCCAGACACAGTAAGGGTCTTGCTTCCTTACTCCTCACAGCTGCTTAGAGACAGGTTTCCTGATACATAGGGGGCTTCAGCTAAAGAATAAGAATAGTAACATTGATCAAGTACTGTTTGGGGACGAGACTTTTAAATGCACTAACTCATTGGATTCTCACAACAGCCTTCTGACTGTTCTTGGATGACTTTTAGAGCCAAGGAAACAGAGATGCACAGAGGTCCAGCTGAAACACTAACAACCGTCTCTTCCTGGACTTGCCCTACAGAACCCTGTCTCCACATCCCAAGGACTAAAACACTGTGTGGGCTCTAATTATGCTGCCAGGATTGTGAGGATGAAGAAATAGCTAGATGACTGGGCATGGTGGTGCACACGTGTAATTCTAGAAAATTGGAAGTCAAACTAGGTTCCGTGAACCTCTGTCTCAAAAACAAACTAACAAACAAATAAACAAGCTAATGCTTTCTGGGCATTGGCTACGGATGCTAGTTCTAAGAGTTTTATACACTGCAGCTCTGTAGAGAGATTCTATTGCCCCCTCCCCTCTCCAGTTTAACAGCTGGGGAAAGTGAAGTGAAGAACTTGCCCAAGAGCACAAGGAAGAGCCAGGATGCCAACCCCTGGGCTCTAACCAGAAGGGTTCCTACCCTGACCTTTCTTGCTCCTCTGGAGTAAGCAAACATTTTTAAAATGCCAGATTGTAAATATTTTAGGTTTGAATGGCCAGCAGGCAAAATGGTCTCATGTAGACACTTATATAGTCCTTTTAAATGATTTAAAATACAGGAACTGTTTTTATCTTGGAACTAAACAGGTGGTGGGCTAGATTTGACCAATCCTGAAACTATACTTGTTGCTGCTCTGGGCCGATGATAAAAACTCAAGGCATTGACTCACAACAAATGAGATAATTTTGAACACCATTTGCTCACAGATAGCAATGTGTTTCTTCCTGGATCCCAAACCCATCACTGGACCGAGGTTCCAGTGCCACAGGAGTTTAATTACCTTCTTTTAGGGTGAGCACCCAGCGCTGGCGGCTCTCACAGTCTGGAGCAAACACATACAGGAGGTAGTTGTCATGCATGATCTAGAAACACACAAGAGTCCAAAATGAACAGGGCATCTGAGCTGGGCCCATGGCGGGTTCATTAAAAATGGACCATCTGGCTGTAGCTGTAGCTCGGAGGTAAAACATTTGTCTAGTATATGCTCGGGACCCTGTGTTCAATCTCCAGCACTGGGAAAAACCAAGCTAGGGCTCTCTGCTCTTCAGGCTGGCAAACATAAAGGTATCTGGGACACGGGAGGAGAGATCTCCTCCATTGGAACTGTAAGCACAAAAGGTGGTGAGCAAGATAAGACTAAAAGGTACACTGACCAGCCTAATGGAGCTTTCCACACTGAGAACTGTCTGTGGCCTGGGCTGTCAACACGTGACTCTCTAGTAGCAAGTGGGTATCAACATTTATCAATGGGCCATCCATCCATCCATCCATCTTCCTTCTTTCCCTTTCTTCTTCTCTGTCTCTGTCTGTCTGCCTCTCTCTCTCTCTGTGTGTGTGAGTGTGTGTGTGTGTGTTGTGTGTGAAATACACACATAATTGTGTGAATGTGGAAGTCAGAGGACAATCCTCAGAGTAGAGTTCTTTCCTCCCACTTTCTGAGGTCAAGAACTCATGTCACCAGGTCTGCACACAAGGGCTTCTACCTGCTAAGCCATCTGACTGACCCTTTGAAAATCATTACTTATTTAGCACTATCTAATTCTGATAGTCATTTATCTATATATAAACGTTCACATTCCGCAGGTGGCTGCTATTTCGAATAGCATAACCATCTTCATACAGTTTTCAGGTTGTGAGATCTGAAACCGCAGACGAGAAACTGAGGAACTAGGTTCTCTTCAAGGTCAGGGCTGTAGTAAGTGACAGACCACAGCACAGCATGTATAAAGCCCCAGGTTCAATCCCCAGCCCTATGGGAAAGCAAGAACCTGTCCAAGAGCCTGTGCCTTTATGGAATGAACGAATGAATGAATGAATGAATGTCACTGGTTAGAGGAATAACACACAGCCCTTCCTGGGGGCTTGGTCTAAGCTCTCAGCATGGGTGAGAGCCGTCCTTTCCCCATCTTCTCTCATCATGGTCCAGGGACAGAAAGTTATCCACTGTAGTCCTGATGGGCTTACCTGAAAAGGGTATTTATAGTGGCATGGGATGCTAATGTCACTCTTGACGATCTCCACACATTTGATTCTGGAAAGTTCGATGGAGCCTTTCAATGTGCGCTTCTTCTGTGAGGAGACAATACATCCGTTTAAGTGAGAGACACTGTTTTCATTTTGATTGTTTCCAGACATTTACTACTAGGAAATTTCCCCTCCCCTTGTAAGCCAGCTGTAGTGTTCCTAATCAAACATCCTGAAGCTGCCTCCCGCCTCAGTCTGAGAGAGACTCTGAGCGGACTCTTGGGAGAAGGGCCTCTGAAGGGTCACGATGGGGACTGATTTTCTATTCAGTCACCCACAGCGATACACACCAGGGTCCTGTTGACACGCGGCAATGTGTGTAGGACTCATGGCTGAGATGGGTTGTATACTCAGTGGGAAAAGAGTCACATGAGTGGCATTTCCTGCTCTCTCTGTAATATCTATGACCTCACTAGTAACTGTGCTCAGGCTTCAGGGTAGTGAGGTATATAAGTGATGTCTCTGCTACATCTGGCTTTTGCAAGTCTTCTAGTTATTCAAAGTTCCACAGTAACACCCCTGCAGTACATTTCCATTCTGTTAACTACCTTTGACCACCCACTTCACCCTCCCCTGGGAAATCGTACTGATCTCATGCCTCAGTCCTTTGAAAGCTTGTTAGAGGTGTGGTCCACGTAACTGATGGTGCCTTGTTTGATAAACGATGTCCAATATTACCTAAACATCATTGTGCTCAGGAAATGGAGACGGGCCACCTTGCCCTGTGAGACGTCTTATTAGTGGGATTATCAGGCTCTAAGCGAGGTGAGCTGGAAAGGCTTTGGATGGCAGAGCCTTCCCCAGGTGCCTAGAATGTGGCTTGCCATTGTTGCTTCAGTCAGCTATGGAATCATTTGTGAAAAACATTATTAGATGTCATCTTTCTGAAGGCCTAAAACCAACACAGGAGTGGAAGGGTGGGGTGTGAGGCTGGGGTTTGTCTCTAGTTAGTACCACGAACTCAGGCAGTACATCTAACTTCCAAGAACCCTTTTATTTATAGCTTGTGAGGACAACCCCTGGCTCTTGGGGTTGGTCAGAGAGTAGGGAAGGGTGATGAAAATAAACTGTAACGGGGGCTTTAATAAAGGGCACCTTCCAAAAGGGTGAAGGAAGGCCCAACTATTGCAAGAGAATGGTGGCACGTGGGTAGTTGTACACCATCAGATTCTCCAGAACAGAAAAGCAGTCGTTGTTTTTTGATCCTCTGCCTGGAAACCGATCTGCACTTACTAGTTGAGGCACAGACTGATGAAAATAGTCAGGATGTGTGAAGCAGACTCTACTGAATACAGGGAAGTTTTGTGAAGTTTCTTTGCAAATTTTCTTTGCAAAACTGTTTTACACAATTTTTAATTCAAAAACAAATCTATTCCTGGTTATACAAGCAAAACAATATGGACAATTACATGAGAAGTAAATATTTACAGGGCTACATCATTATCCCACCTCTCTTCATGGTCCCAAGGCAGCCAAGATTAACAGTTTGCTTGTTTATATGTTTATTTGGGGGGGGGGGAGAGAGAGGCCAGAGATGGACACGAGATGTCTTCCTTGATTGTTCTTGATCTTACTTTTATAAGGCAGACTCTCCCACTGAACCTAGAATTCCCAAGTGACCAGATTAAGTAGTCTGTGAGCCCCTCCTGTTGTCATCTCTCCAGCGCTGGCACTATGGGCCCATGCTGCCACCACCAGCTCCTTACACAGGGCTATCAAGGGACTGGGACTCAGATTTTCATGGCTATATGCCAAGCAATTTACTGATGCAGCCATCTCCCAAGGCATTTTTCCCCTGTACAACTGCAGGGTATATATAAACAAAAATGAGCATCTGATTTACACATTGGCCTCACGGCTGTTTTGGTAATCTAGTACTGTTAAGAGGCCTGCCCTCTGGACTCCAACTCCCATAGAGGCCCCAATATGGCCCATCATCACAGCCCTCAGGCACTGCCAGTTTGCACCTCAGCAGCAGAAGTGCACAGAGATGCACAGCAGAAATGCCTGTCCCATCCGCAGTCCCTGGCCGTTGGTGAGCTCAAGCTGCTGGGTGTTGTCTTCTTCTTCAGGGTGAGACTGACAGAAGGCTCACACCAATACCAGGGCAGCGCTGGCGAAATACTACTTTTCTCTTTGAAAACTACTGAGTTCTGTGATGTCGGCTCAGTGCCTAGCACAGTGGCTGATCCTTTATCGTCCTTGGCTAGGGCATCATCTTGGACCCTGTTTAAGCAATCTCAACCAGATGTAAGTCTAATATGTCTGGCTATCCTGAAAATTTTTACTGAAGGCCCACAATGAACAAGGTATTGCTCTGAGTTCAGTAAACAAAGTAATAAACTGTAGTAGTTTTTTTTTCTCTTTACTCTTTGGAAGCCTGCCAGCCATCTCCCAAATAAATATGCACACTGAGACATATAATCACTTATACATGCCCAGCCTTAGTTTGGTTGTTTCTAGCTAGTTTTTCTTAAATTATCCCATCTACCTTTTGCCACTGGGCTTTTATCTTTCTCTATTCTATATACCTTTCTTTACTTCTTACTCCATGGGTTGCTGTGTAGCTGGGTGGCTGGCCCCTGACTTCTTCCTTCCTTCTCCTTTTTCTTGCTCCTCTATCTTCTCTTCCTAGAGTTCTTCTCCTATTTATTCTATCTGCCTGCCAGCCCCACCTTTCCTTTCTCCTGCCTAGATATTGGCTGTTCAGCTCTTTATTAGACCAATCAGGTGTTTTAGACAGGCAAAATAACACAGCTTCATATAGTTAAACAAATACAACATAAAAGAATGCAACATGTCTTTATAGCATTAAACAATTGTTACACAGCAAAAATAAATGTAACACATCTTCAACTAATATTCCACAACAATTAACATTAACAAATGAGGGTTATAGGCAGCCCTCACTTATGATGGTTTGTTTCAGTTTTTGACTCTATGTTGATGTAAAAACCAATCTTCATGACCAGGCATAGCGGAGCATGTTGGTAATCACAGTACTATGTAGACTGAAGCAGGAGGATCGAGAGTCTGGGCGACATGGTCAAAAATAAAAGTTGATCACTGTAGCAATGCCAGCACTTAAGGAGCAGAAGCAGGAGGATTACTGTGAATCTGAAGTCAGGCTCCAGATACTGTACATAGTGAGTTCTAGGCCAGCCGGGTCTACAACAGCAAGCTCCCACCTCAAAAAATCAAATCAATTATCCATCAAAGAAAGAAAAGGAACTTAAACTTCAAAACTTGAGTTTTAATCTTCTTCTAGGCCAGTGATATCTCATATGATAGTATCGACATACTGCTGGGCAGAAGGCCACAGCCACTGGGTCACAAGACCATGAGAGTGGGTACCAGGCTCTCTGCGGTGAGCTGCACTGCTAAGCTGTGGTGTTTGGTATGCTAGGCATTCAGCTCACAGTAAGTTTAGAAGGATGTAACTCCTTCTTAAGTTTGGGAGGTCAGAAAGGAGAAGCAAGTGCTGAAAAGGCAATGGGATGGGTAGATGTCATCAGGACAGGCCTCTGGAGAGAGGACATTGACACAGACCATGAAGTCCAGCAGGGAATGTCTGTGACCAGGGAGGGGTGAGCACTCAGTGAATTGAGAACCCTTGGGATTTGGGGTCAAATGATCTTTCACAAAGGTCATCTAAGATCATTGGAAAACACACATACTCAAATTATGAATCACAAGAGCAACAAAATTACAGTTATGAAGTAGCAATGAAAATAACTTTATGGTTGGGGGTCACCACAACATGAGGAATTGCATTAAAGGGTTGCAGCATTAGGAAGGTTGAGAACCACGGCACTAGAACAAAACGTCTGGGCAGAAAAGCTCTAATTAAGCCTCTCTTTGTGGTTATGGTACACAGTGCAGGGAGACAGACATATCTGGAGCCAAAAAGAGGAGCAGAAATCCTATGTGACATTCTGAAGCTGCAGTGTTCAATAAAAATTCAAACAGAATGTGAGCTGGACATGGAATTTAAAGTTTTTTAGTTGGGCATGGTAGTTTACATCTATAATTCCACCACGTTTGGGGTTGAGGCAGGGGAATTTCTACAAATTTGGAACCAGCCTTGACTACATAGCCAAAGCTACCATTCAAAATAATTTTTTTCCTATAAGTATGTTCAGAAAAGCAATAGCAGCAAATCAAATCAATTGTGATAACTATGCTATTTAACCCCAAGCATCTTAAGTACTATCATTTCAAACTAAGCATAAAAGTTGATCAACTCCTCGTTAGTCCTAACCTTTGAAGTCTTCCATTTTTCACACCTCAGCTTGGGTGTGCCACGTGTAAGTGCTCACACAGTTTTCAAGGAGCATTCTTCCTTCCTGCAGATGACTCCCAGTATCCATTTGTTCCTTACCTGTCAGCCTTTTCAGTCAGAGAGATCAGATTGGCCACCATTAACCTCACTCTTGGACCCTAGTAACTGCTTGTGTCCCCCCCCCCATCCATCTCTCCTGTCAGTCTCCCAGAATTTCACAGCATTTGATGTGGGACACAGCAGGCATAGATGCTCCCTCCTCAACTGCTTCATGGGAGCGGCGGGTCAGAAGCTAAACACAGGCCAGTCTCTGGGAAATGATGGTTGTCTGCAATCTTCCCAAACAACTGAGCTATATCTGAAAAACATCATGGGAAGGCCTGCCAAGAAAACCACACAAAAGCCACCAGAAGAGGGAGAGGCCATGTTAGCTTGTCCTCCCTCTTCCTTGTTATTCTGACTGTCAGCACCACACAAGGTCACAAGATTTTGGGTGGCATTATTTCTCTTGTTGCCATGCTCAGAACTACACTGCCTCAGGAAATAATGCCAGCAGTCAACAAATGGAACCTTCTGTTATGAAATTAAGAAGTTTCTGTACTGTCAAGGACTAGAGTTAACTGAGAGAAGAAACTGTCTGAGAGACAACCTTTGCCAGCCATACATGTGACGGAAGACTGATACATAAAATACACCAAGAACTAAAACAAAAAAAATCTCAACCACAGGAATGCAAACAACCCAACCAATACATGGGATCGCA